GCCTTTTACAATTGTAAAATCAATTTCTGATTTGTAAGATTCATTTACTAATTTCTTCTGATTTTTACAAATTCTGATTTTCCCATATTTCGTTTCCAACCTGAATTGTAAACTTGAATAAATCAGAAATACAATCCGGAAAAAAAACCGGAAAACAAATTATACACCCTTTTTATTCTGATTATTATAATTATTACAAATTCTGATTTCTCTCATTTCCTTTCCAATCAGAATTGTTAACTTAAATTTAAAAAATATAATCTGGAAAAACTTAAAAAAAGATTGTAAAGCCTGTGCTGAATAATTGAACCTGAATAATTAAATTAAATTACAATTGTAATTCTCTCACAGTCACCAACTTTTTTAAAATGACTCAAGCTAAATGGGGCATTTATTTGTTGTTGATTATTCTAAGTAGGAACCAGATTTTTAGGTTTCTTACTATTTTTTTCCTGAACTCCCCGAGGTCTAACAACTCCCCAGCACTGAACTCCTCAAGGTCTTCTTAAGTTACTTTCTATTTTTTCTATACCCCCAAGGTCTGAGAAGCAACTCCGCTTTACCCACAGAAATTGGTATTTTTAGTTCCCATTTTCCAATTCATTTTAAAAATTCTTTTCCTAAAAATACGGACCTAAATTATTCTAATCATCTTTTCCTAGTATATTTAATTGTATAATTCTTTAAATTTTTAAAAAATAATTTTTTCTTTCCAAAAATAAATATTGTAATATTGTAGTACTATTTTTATAACCTTGACATTCCCTAAATTAAATTTTTATTAAAAAAGGCCCAGACTTTTCCCATTACATCTTTGCCCTTTTACAAAAGCGGGAAAGCAATATATAAAGAAATGACCAACTTTTGAGAAAAAAAAGTTTATTTAAATAAAAGCACGCCCTGATTCCCAACAAAGAATTGGCAAACATTAAAAAAAAATTTTTTTTCAACTTTGAATTACACAATACAAGATGCCCAAATATTCGCAACACAAATATATTTAAAAATATTATTTTGCTGTGTATTAGGGGTGGGATGGTCTGAGAAAAAAATTGGGTCGAAATTTCATAGGATTGGGTTACGGTTTCGGTTGAAAAATTTTTCGGGATCTATGGGGTGTACTTTACTTGGTTACCTATGAAATAGGTAACTTTTTTAATTGAAGAAGGCCAATTACAATTATTTTCCAGCTAATAAATTCTGCCTTATCTAAATCCTGCCAAATCTCTGTTGTACCACCTATCGGTCAAATATTGTTAACATAATATAAATTATTGAATAATAATTTATGTTATGATTAATTATTAACATAACTATTAATTATTAACAATATTAACGAACATTAGCTTACTTGTGATTTTTGACCATAACTTTATCATTTATGAATCAAAAAATATGAAACTTGGAAATCTAATAGCTCACTTTCTCCTCTATCCAAAGGTACCAAATTTATCTAAAAAGGCCTATCCATCCCTGAGTTATACTCTCCAAAGTCTCCCTCACTCACCTTCACTCATCCACAGTTAAATGCCTGCGAATAAATGGGTCACCCCCCCTCTCCCTTCTCATTGACCAATATCTCTCCGATTCTCAATTTTTTCTTATTTTTTGGCCTTTTTACAAAGAAAAGTGCTAAAGAGAAGAAAAAATTCAATTAAAAGTTTGCCCCTTTTTTGTGCTTATTCTTCCGGAAAAAGGCTAAAAAACGCGCGCAACTTTTAAATAAATATTTTTTTAATTTTTTGATGGTCAATGGGCGGTCCTAAACTTTTTTTAGTTAAAATATTACACAATTTTGAGGTTTTAAGGAAACACATTATTAGCCTATAAAATTATTCTTTTATAAATTTATATTCCTTTAATTTTAAAAATATTTATTCATTTATTTGTGTGGTAGATTGAGAGAGAGGACCTTTGGTGCGCGGAAATTAAAATAACTAATTTTATTGTGGAGCTATTAATTTAAAATTTTGTGTTAGGCTAGCTAATAGTCACATCTAGAGAATCTACAAATTTCAGAATTTTAGGTAATATATTTCCAAAGTTATGATTTTTAACTAGAATTTATTTATTTATATTGTGTAGGTAGGGAGAGAGGGTGGATACTCGGAAATTAAAATAACAAATTTTTATGTGAACCTAGCTAACTAAAATTTTGCATAGATATGGCTAAAAGTTTCAACTAGTTTTTCTAATAATTTCAAAATTTTTGGTTTGATATTTCCAAAGTTATGGTCTAACAAGTCAAAGGCTTTAAGCATTTTTAAGTCAGCTCCTTTCTTATTATCTGAATTTTCCCAATTTTTTCGCTAAAAATTTATTTATTTTATTCAATCATTCCTTTCTTGTAAAACACATTTTGGCCATTTTTTCACCCTTTAATTTTTTATTTGTTAAGCGAGAATGGTCAAAGCATCGAAATAAATTTTTATTATTTACAAATAAAGAGGGTTTTTGGTCAAATAAAAATGCTTAAAAAATTTTATTATTTAAATATAGAAAAAAATACATATTCCAAAATATTATATTAAGACACCTTTTAAATTTTAATTTTATTTTTATATTAAAAAAATTTTTTTTCCGATATATTTACATATTTGTTAATTAAAAGCTAGCTTAACTAAACGTCATGTTTATTATTTTGGTTTAAATTTAAAAATTATTTGGGGACTCTCGGATTTTTAAAAGCAAATAGAACCTCTAAACTATATAGCCACACACATTTTCCAAATTTTTAAAAATTCAAAAAAAAATTTTTTAAATTCTTTCTTGTTACCAGAGGTGGGTCTGAACATCAGAGGTGTCGGAAATCGGAAGAGCCGGAAATCGGAACTGGCTCAAAAGTCGGAACTCGGAAATCGGATTTATTTCTCTTTAAAGATCCCTCGTCTATGAATTGCCCCCAAATTTTATATTTTTTTCTAAAATTAATTTAGCCCCTATATTTTTTTATAATTTTAATATAGACTAGTTCCTTTCTAAATCAAATTAATCCCCTCCCTCTGAAATTAATTTAAAAATTAAAAAAAATTTTTTTTCGAGTTTTCCCAACAGAAAATAACACCGTTGCCCTCAATAAACCGACCGAATTATTAAATTACCCTTCCCTTCATTTACTCTTCTCTTCTTTACTCTTCTTCATCTTCAATTTCCTCTTCCTTTTTTTATTTTTTTTTATTTTCTTCCCTCTATAATTATTTTTTTTTCATTAATTTCTAAATTATTTTTGATACAGTTATTTTTTTAATTTTTAAAGGTAGGTAGTTAAAGTTAGGGGAAAAGTCCATTTATTCGCAGGAAAAAATTTCTTTTAAATAAATTTTTTTCAAGTCCAAGTAAAAATTTTTTTTTTCAAAATTAAAAATTAATTTAGATAGCCCAGGGATATTTTTAAAATATCACACTGGATACTCTCTCAAATAATTTATTTAATTCATTTAATCTGTGTCTATAAAGCTCCAGTTTTGTCCCTGTCTGGGCATCCTGATTAGAGTTGCCGTTTTCGAACCGGGCCGACGTTCGAATCATTTTTTCTCGACATTTGCCGGGCCTCGATTTTATCTAACCGACGTTAGAGTCTTTTTCGGGTCAAAATTTGATGCCCGATTTGATCTATCGAAGCGGGCCGAACCGAGCGATAACCATCACTTTCTAGAGTTTTTTTAGGAATTTCTGAAATTATAGAATCTATAGTAATATTCTAGATTGATAATTAAACCTGTTGACTGACTCACCTTTTTATCAGTATATCAACTACGAACCTTAACTAATATACCTTTGCGATTAGATGGGGCAGCTAACAGACACTTTTCCTAATTTTTTAAAATTATTATTATTTCTTGTACTGCACAAAAATTGTGTTTTGAATGAGGATAGTTTTCGGGTTTTGCCTTTGTATTTATTTTATAATTATTAATAAAATAAATTTTTGCTTCTTCAATTTGTTCTTCTTCACGCCCCACATTTCCTCTCTTTTTTTTCTTTTATTAAATTTTTTTATAAATTTCCTTTTGCCTTTTGTTACTTCGAGAAATTATTTTTTTGTTGAATATAGGCAAATATTTTATTTTTATAAAAAAATAAAATAAAAAAAATTTTTTTAATGGAAATTATTAATTAATAGAATTTTTAAATGGGAGAGAAAGGGCAAATAAACAAAAATTCTGGTTTATTGTAGTATTTTTCCGGAATTTATTCTTTTCGCTTACTTTCCGGTTAAAACCAGAATATATTAGTTAATTAATTCATTTTCCGGAATCTTTCTTTTCCGGAAATTTTTATTTTCCTGAAATTCTTTTCTATTTAAATTTTCGGAAATAAAATAGGAATGTTAAAAAAGAATTTTCCGGAAAACTATTCAGGAAAAATAATTATTTATACATATATTCTGATTTTTTATTCAGAATATTATATATTAAATTCTGGTTTATAAATTAGACATGTATTTTCCGGAAAAATTAATTATTTTTAATTCTGGTTTATTTTATTTTTCCGGAATTTATTTTCCGGATAAATTAAATTCCCCTATAAACTGCGAATAATTGGGTAAGCTAACTGACACCTTTTTTTCTGAAAATTAATTTTTAATATTAAAAAAAATTTTTTTTTTCAATATTTACTCAAAAAAACTTTTTTTTTCTCCTCTTCTTATTTTTCTAATATATTCCCCTCAACTCAAAATTTTTAACAAAAAACTTCTCTTCCTTTATTTTACTATCCTTCCTCTCCTTCTTTTGTTGTTCTGCGGTTTGTTTCTTCTTGAAGGTCAGTCTCATCCTCCTGAAAGTTTTGGAGGAATTGTTATTTTCAATTCTTTTCTTATTTTTGTTCCTTAGACGGATTTCCTAGTAGAGAGGCACAATCAAACACTTTTTTTAAATTTAAATACAAAAAATACCCAAAAAATTTCTATAGAAAAATTGATCTAATGGTAAATATTGGACTATTTTGGGGAGATATTGTGTCCCTTACCTCAGGGTTTATATGGAAAATAAGCCCATTTATTGGATCGGTTTTGAGTAGTTTTTGGTGGCCGAGACAAAATCCTTCCCAAAAATAAAGTGAGATCGAACTCGAATTCTCCTCAATTTTCCACCGGAAATTGCCCTTCTACAACAGGGATGGGTTAGGTTACCCGAAACTCGATCCAGAGGAAATTTTTGCAATCCCTCCCTATTTTTTCTAAGCTTGTCCCATTCTTGTCTACAGGTTGGGACCATTATACTAATTACTTTTAAACCTTTTCCTACCAACATTCTTTCCTCAAAAATTTTTTTATTCCACCTATTGTTCTCGCACCCACCCACTACATGCTCACACAAAAAATTATTTTTTTAGTCTATACCTTATATGTATTTTTTTATTCTTTTTAACTTGATCTATTTTTAAATTCTTTTCTCTTCTGCCAGCAACTTCCAAGAGGATTTTACAAAAAATTCAAGGTCAAGAAAAATGGGATTAATTGAGTGAAAAAAAGGGGGAAATAGACAAATAGCTGGTACTAATCTAGTTTTTTTGGCAAAATAAATTTTAAATGAGTGGAATGATTTTTAAATTAATCCAATTTAGTATATTATAGGTCAAGAATTTTTTTATTTTTTTTTATTAAAAAATTTTTTACCTACTTCAACGTTCTCTTCGGAGGGTTATGGTCCCTGTCGGAGGGGTATGCCCCCTAGGAAGGTTATATCCTCATAGAAGGGATATGTCTCCTTTGAAGGGTTATGTTCTCTTCGGAGGGTCATGATCCCTGTCGGAGGGGTATGCCCCCTCGGAAGGTTATGTCCTCTTAGGAGGGATATGTCTTCTTAGGAGGGAGATGTTCTCTTCGAAAGAGTTTGTTCCGTTCGGAGGGGGTATTCTGTCCTTTTCGAAAGAGGATGCTCCATTCGAGAGGGATTATATTAAAAAAACCTTAGGAATTTTAATTTACTTTTAGTCGTTAAAATTTTTCTAAAAAGGTTTTGTAAAGTGATTAACCTTGTAAACTTGGTTTAATTTAAAAGTAATTGGAGACTACCTAATTCATTAAAAATCCAATTTTATTTTTAAAAATGTGTTCGTTATCATGCTGAGACTCACAATTTCCGAGTAATTTTTAATACAATTTTTTTATTATTTTTTTTATTAATTTTTCCCTACCTCTCACCTGTTCCCCTATATTCCAAATTGCTTGACCTTCCACTTATGCCCAAAAAGGGCTATTATCCTTCAATAGCAAAATATATTGCGGTGGTCTTGACCCTTAGTTATCTTTTCTTTTCAATCTCTTGGCATTCTCGCGGCATTCATTATAATTTTTTTCTATTCACCTGTTCCCTTCGGAGGGGTGGGGGGTACTCTGTAGAGAGCGTCACATGCAAATTGTGTCTTTTTACACAAAAAATGGATAATAAAAAGTCTCTTTTTGCTCTTTTTGCAAGAATGAACCTATTCAAAAGTATTTTAAACAATAGCAATGAAAATTGGCATTTTATCTTATTTTTTATTTTATTTTTTGAATATTCCTATATTTGACCTAGGCCTAAACAAATTAATGTAAATAATTTATTTTTTGACCAAAAAAGCTCAAATTTGGTCAGAATATGTAAAAATGATTGGAGAATTTAAATATTCAAGTATTTTGATCGAACACTTATTCCTAGACTAATAAACAATTTATTAGTCCACTTGGTCCTTCTCGAGAGCACAGACCTGTTAATCCAATATGATTAGTTCTAGGCTGTTTTTTATTTAATGAGAGAAAAGGAATGTTTATTCCCTTCATAAAAACCCCCATGTCCTTTAATTTTCATCCAAATTTGGAGTGCATCATGCTCAAGAATATATGCCGCCCACCCAGTGCGAAGAACGCCTCCCGTACCTTTACATCTATAAATCCATTTTTGCTTAGATCAGAAAGAAAATTCTTTTTATTCTTTCATTTCCTGGCCTTTCTGACAAAGTTTGAGAGATATTTAATTATTATTCGTTTTTATTCTCGTAGAGAAAACTCTCTGAAACCACAGAGATTTTATCTGATGCTAAAGGTATCTTCATTGCCCACCAAATATTTAATTAAACCAAGTTTAGGTACCCTTGTTAACTGAAAAAAGGCCAAATAAATTAGGAGTAGGGCAGATTAGCTCAAAAATAGATTACTCTATTAATTATCCTATCACTAATATAGGCATCAGTGGATATCCTAATAATCAGGGCTACTGGCTTATACAAAGGCAAATAACAGTCAGCATGTATTCGTAACAAATTAACCTGTAAAAATTTGTTTTTGAAATTTTAATTTCTCAGAAAATATTAAAAACCACAGTTCAAGGTTATCCCATTGTCAAACTATTTTTTAAAAATTGTCCAAAAATCAAAGAAAAACCCTCAAATTTATTTTATTGTATAGGTTAGTGCCCTTCACTCTTCAAAACCTAAATTACCTGCTTATTTTATTTTTCTTTTATTTCCCACCTAAAAATATTTTGCCTTGAAACTTCCAACTTTGCGCAACCATTTTTCCTTTAAAAAATATTTTTTATTTCCTCACAAACTGAAAAATAAAAAAAATTGGAGGGAGAGGAAGAATTTGAGGTAAAAACACACTTGCTTCTAGATGCCTTTTTAACTTTAGTTTAACTAGCTATTTCGAGCTATACTACATAGAAGTCTTCAGTAGCTTACATTAAGATTAGGGTTGACGGCTCGGATCGGTTTGATGGATTCGAAAACGGCAACCCCTAATTAAGATATAAGGTAGAGGTACTCTTAAAAAATTTTCCTTGGATATTGGCAATGGCATGCGATAAGACAGACTTGAGATAAAACATTTGTGAGAAAAAAAAATAATTTTTTGATAGTGGAAGAGGCCCAAAATAGGTTGGAGCTGTTATAAATCTTTAATATGGTGTGTTTTGAATAGAGCTTCGTCGGAAGTTCCATTTCCGGTAGGCCGGAAGTTCCGGGATTTTCAAACCAAAAATTAGATCTGGTTCCGGCTCCGGTTAAATTTCCATTCCAAACACTAGTTTGGAATAGTTAAAGTTTCTCGACTATTATAAACACCTACTAAATAAAATTGGGGGTTGTCCAACTTTTCTAACCTGTCGAATCTAGTAAATATCTGTCCGCATCTCACTTGTATCCTCATAAATCCCATTAAATTCTTTGAAAGAGACAAATAAGAAAAGTTGCATTTATGTTCAAAACTAAATTAAATCCCTCCCCTTTACTTCTACTATAATATAATTATTTTGCCTTGACACTCTTTAAATAAAATTAAAAAAAAATTTTCCAGTAGCCAACACTAATCGAGCATAATAGAAAAAATTAAGTAGACAAAAATGCTCTTATTTTAATAAACTCAAAAAATATTTTCCCCTTAATTTTGACTAATTTTGAGTTCCAAATATTTTTAATAGAACGCAACAAAAATATTTTTTTCAAAAATAAATATACTAAAAGGATTAACACACAAGTTAACCTTCAAAATATTTTGGAAGACACTCATTTAAGTCCGTTAAAATTGCTTTAGTTTGTCATTTATTTGTGTCAGTTGTAAAATAATTTTTTTTTAAATAATTTTTTTTCTTCTTGAATATTTTAGGAAAATATATTTCTTAGAAAATTTTTTTGAAAAAAATTTTCTTTATATCATAAATAAAAATTGAGAGCGCTTCACAAACTTAAAAACTTAATCGAATTTACAAGCTTAAAATCATGCACTAACAAAATCAGCTTATCCAAGTTTATATTTTTTGAATAATTTTAATAATTTAAGAATTGTTTCAAAAAATAAAATAAAAAATTTATTCATTAAACAAAATATTAAGCAGCATATAACTAGCATTAATATTTCAATAATAATTTTTTAAAATGAATACATTACCTGGAGAAAGAAATGAAACTTTTAAGCAGCCTAAAACGAGCTTAACTAATTTTGTCAAACAAATATTGCTATCGGTTTGAATTTTGAAAATGTTTTGTAAAATTATTTTTAAATAATTTTAATTCTTAATCGCCATAAGTTTCAAGTTTAAACTTAAATTTAGATTTCTTAATTTTTCAAGTCTGATGTTATGTTTTTTAACGTTTAATTTGCGAGGTTTTTAAGTTTAAACTTAAAAACAAATATAAACTTGAATTTAATCTTTTTTTAAGTTTAAAGATAAAAATTAAAGTTTTGAACTTGTTTTCAAGCTTAAACTTGAAAAATAAAGTTGCAAACTTTTTCTCAAGCTTAAACTTGAAAATTAAGGTTTTGAACTTATTTTCTAGTTTAAACTTGAAAATTAAAGTTTCAAACTTATTTTCAAGCCTAGACTTGAAAATTAAAGTTTCAAACTTTTTTTCAAGCTTAAACTTGAAAATTAAAGTTTTGAACTTGTTTTCTAGTTTAGATTAAAAATTAAAGTTGCAAACTTTTTCTCAAGCTTAAACTTGAAAATTAAAGTTTTGAATTTGTTTTCTAGTTTAAACTTGAAAGATTCTTCAATTTGAACTTGGACTTTTTTCAAGTTTGAGCTTAAAATGTTTCCAAGCTTTATTTTTATATGCTTGTAATCATGTTTAATATTCCAAGTTTTTAAGATGTTTTCGAGTTGCAACAAAAACAAAAGCTCAAGACTGCAACGGTTTTCTCCAACAAATTTCTACCATCAAAAACAACAATATTCCTATTCAAAAATGGTGAAAACCTTGCCAATAATACTTTGCATTCTTTCCATTTTTTCGACCGGAAATGGGGCAGTGGTTCTTCAAAGGAATGAGGGAAGTAATTCAGTGAAGAATGAACTAGCTGCTTATGATAATGAAATTATTAGTGAGCTGTTTTTAAATATAATTTTTTCAAAAATTAATCCAAAATAAGACAATCATCCGGAACATTGAATTTTAATTGGTTTCTATTGCGGTCATTCCTGTTTTTTTTTTGCCCTCCTTATGCGGGGCAACCTTGAACTTAATCGTTCTTAATTAAAACAAATCTTCATTCCCTTCCTTCCCTTTAAATTTAATTTTTCCTCTAAAAAGGCGAACCAGAAATTACATGTGGCCCGGGTGTTGTACACTTTACTGTTAACACTCGACGTGGCAATGCCTCAGCAGTTTATGTACGTGGACAAAGCCATAATGAGGATTGTACTTTCCATAACAAAAGAAATGTAACTATTGAACTGGCAAAGTGTAATGTTAGAAGGAAAAGAGAAATTAATCCAAATCCTGGAATTGCTTATCAAATGACTATTGTGGTTCAATTACATCCGGTCAGGAGAAAAAAATTTCTTTGCTTTATACACTATCTCTTTAAAAACTAAGGAGAACATAAAACTTAAGTTTCCGGAATAAAATAAAAAGTAAACTAACATAAACTTAGGTTTCCGAATACTATTAATAAGTAAACTAACATAAACTTAAGTTTCCGGAAAATATAGAAACATAAAGACTTAACTCGAACAAGAACTTGTTTCCGGAAAACATAGAAAAATAAAAACTTAACTCGAACATAAACTTGTTTCCGGAAAACATTGAAAAACAAAAACTTAAGTTTCCGGAATAAACTCAAAAACTTTATTAGAATATACCTAAAACTTGAGTTTCCGGATTACTATTTGTTAATAAATTAAAAACATAGTTCGAATATGCAAACTTAAGTTTCCGGAAAATATCTTTAAGACACGCTTATAAAATTATTATTTTACAGTTGTTTGTCACAAAAGTTGATCGCGCATACAATGTCAATTGTTTTTACAAAGAAAAACCTCAGGATGTTAGTGTTGATTTTGGAGTGAGGTAAATTGAATATTAATGGATTAAATAATTTTTTAAAAATTTTTGGGATTAAAATTTTGATAAAATTTAAATAAGCGCTCCAATGCGTTCCAATAGAGATTAATCTTAAATTCTCTCCCGTTCTCAAAAATAATTTTTTTTCCAAACTTCACCTAATCCTCCCAAATATATTTTTATCTAACAAAATCTAATAAAAATTATGATATTTACATATTTAAGTGATATTGTCACCCAACAATTGTATTCAGAACCTCTACTACCTGCCTGTACTTATTCTGTTCATAGGCAAGTTTTGAAGTTTTTAAAATAATAATAAACACTTGATATTGTTTATTGGCCTTGAGCTTTTATTTATTAGTTAATATATTAATAAAATTCATTTTAATCTTAAAGTGTTTTTATTTATAAATTATTAACCTTGACACACTACTACACTTGAATTTTTAATTGAAAAATGTTGCAAATTAATAAAATCACAAAACACTTGGAAACAATAAAAACACAATACTTACGAGTTTAAAAAAATTTTTCTGAGTTTATTTAAAAGTTTCAATATTGAAAACCTAAATTTGAATACCTACGACTTGAGTACTTAAAACAAGAGCTGAACGTACAAACTTAAGTTTCCTGATAAAAGGCTAAAAAAGCAAGCTAAAAATAGCTAAGAAAAACAGTCAAACCCTTAAAAATCCTGACCAGTGGAAAACACAAAATTAAGGATAACATGATAGAACCTCAACATAAAAATTAAACCTATACCCTTAGAGATTATTTTCAAAAAAAATTTCAGAGATAGTCCAAACGGTCCTCGTGTTAAATACACACATGTTGGTGAACAACTCTATCATGTGTGGGAATGCCCCTCACGTATGTATTCAATGCTTCTATATAATTGTCAAGCTGTTGATGGAAAGGGAGCTGAATTTGCTATTATTGATGCTAATGGATGCAGTAAAGATGGTAATATTTAAATGAATTTTTAAGACAATCAGAAAATCAGGAACTTAAAAAATTCTTCGATTAACTAACAATAGGAAAATTAGGTGGGAAGCATTAAAACTTAAGTTGGACTTAAATTTAAGTTTCCAGAAAGCAATAATGTAAGGATGATTCACCCAGCAGCATTGAAAACGCTTAGGCGAGGGATAAACGATCTAGAAAGGAAAAAGAGAAAGCATTAGTCGATGCCCCGGTAGCTTAGAGGTAGAGCTTCTGCATTTGGTGAGCGAAAGCGCCTAGCAACAACTAGCAGGTGGTCGCAGGTTCGAATCCTGCCCGGTGGCTAAACTTTTGCAAACTCTTTCTATGATTTAAACGTAAACTTAGGTTAGAAATTAAAAACTTAAGTCTCCGGAAAGTACAGATTTAAACGTAAAACTTAAGTTAGAACATGAAAACTTAAGCTTCCGGAAAGGACTAATTTAAAACTTGAAACAAGTTTCCGGAAAACACAAACTTAAAAATAAAAACTTAATTTTCCGGAATGACAAACTTAAATGTAAAAACTTAAAAACTCGAGAGCTTAAAAACTTAAGTTTATCACTTTTATTTTTCAGAATTTCTAATGCCCCAAATAACATATACAGTGGAAAGAACAAAAGCTATGGCTGTACGTTTTTAAATTTTTAAATTATTAATTCTATTTTTTGTAATTATCAACATTCTTATAGGCTTCTGCTGCTTTTAATTTTCCTGATCGAAATACAATGTCTTTTACCTGCAAAATTAAGCTTTGTATGAACTCTGATTTGGAATGCAATAATTTAACTGTAATTGAAATTTTCTCATGAATTTAAAAAAACTTTTAAAAATTTCAGCCTCCAAATTGCAACGGAAAACGTGCCAAGAGTGCATCTAACGGGAACTTTAATGAGGATACCAGCGGGGAATCATCTGCCCTACTTAATGTAACTGAAACACCTCTGCCTTCATCTTCTTCAACTACACCACTTTCGATTATTACAAAAACAAATGTTAAACAAAGGGTTGAAGTTAGTGGAGATGTGATTCCTGAGACTGAGTTTGGAACTACTATGGAGGCCATAACAGCTACCTCTACTAATAAACATAAACAAGATCTGAGAAATGAGGAAAGAATTGAAGAAAAAGCTGAAAATAGTAGAAGCACTCTCTCAAGCAGTACAACCGATTTGCGGTTTTCAAGCAGTACGTCAACAGAAAGCACAAGATCAGATCGTAATAAACCAACAATAAAGGAAGAATCAGACGAAGAGCAGCAAAGAACTTCAAGCAGCACACCGAGAAGTTCAAGCAGTGCGTCGAGAAGTTCAAGCAGTACAACCACTTCTGAAGGAAGTGAACAACTTCTAAGTAGTGTGGAGCGTATGAATAGTGCCTCGGCAGAGAACAGCAGAGAAACTGTTGCTTCTTCCACTTGGTCATCGAGCAGTACAACTGAAGGAATTCCATTACCTCCAACGCTGATAGCAACATTCCACACTACAAATTCCAACAACATAATTTCCCCCAAGAAAGACGAATTTCCTCAACCAGATTTACTACTACACAAAGACAAAGCTATGTTAGTGCCTCCTGAAAGAAAAATCCTTCCATCAGCTTCTAAAACAAGCAATAGAATGGATGAAGCAGTTGAACGTGCTGATCCAAATTGGACTGTTTCTGCTGAAGAAGTTAAGCAAGAGGAGGAAAAAGAGAAGAAGGAAAATGACGATGTGTTCAATGGAACAACTAAACCTGTTCAAGTCAGTAAAAATTTTTTCAATCTTTTCAACTGATTTTTAAACAGGTTTTCGATAAGCGTTCTGGTAATGAAGCAAAATCGGCTGCCCGTTCACAAAGAGATACTACGCGGGGACCACCTGCTTCATTAAATGCTGGTGATGGGAAAAGAGCACATAACAGAAGGAGAGGAACACACGAAGTCGACTTTGACATAAGCTCACCCGAATTGATGATAATGGATGATTATGGTAGAATATTAATTAGAATATTTTCAAACTTAAGTGTAAACTTAAAACTTACTTAGGTTAGCCGCTACTTAGATTACGGAAAATAAGTATCCGGAAAATCTAACCGGAAAACTTAAGAACTTAAGTTTAATGAGTAACAATAATATTTTCATAGAACCCGCGGCCGCTGCTCAACGTGGATCTATCCAACGCAGCTCCATTCAAGAAGCTCCTTTCATCGACTGGTCTACCCAAGAACGAGGCAATAATACCGTTGTTTGCCTCTCACCAATTGCAATAATTTCTGGCGGATTGCTTCTGCTTCTATTGTTGTTAATAATGTTAGTAATTTTAATGAGAGTGATGCGGAAAAATAGGGGAAGTAGTGGAACTTTAATGGAGCATAGTTTATATAGCAGTTGATTTTGATAAAATTATCTAATCTTTCCATCAATGACTCATAATAATTAATCAAATTATAATACTATTTAATTTTTTCTCCTCTTGTTTTATTTCTTTCCGGAAAACTTGAAAACTTAAGTTTATAAACTAGTAAAAAGGTAAGATAACCGGAAAAGTTAATTTTTCCTTTCGAAGGTCTTTCCGGAAAACTTAAGTTTTTAAATTAATACGAATTTAAGTAACCGGAAGAATGTTTATTCTTTCTGGAAAACTTAAGTTTGCAAATTAGTAAAAGTTAAGTAACCGAAAGAATTTTATTTTTATTCTTTCCGGAAAACTTGAAAACTTAAGTTTGTAAATTAATACGAATTTAAGTAACCGGAAGAAGTAGTTCAAAAATTCTTTCCGGAAAACTTAAAAACTTAAGTTTGCAAATTAGTAAAAAATTAAGTAACCTGAAGAATTTTATTTCTTTCCGGAAAACTTGAAAACTTAAGTTTATAAACTTATATTATTTTAATTAAATTCGCACAGCATCTCTTTAATTTTTAATTTATTAATTTTAAATCTAATTTTTTATTTTGCCTTTTACTCTCATTTTTGTACTTGTTCCTCTTTCAAAAACTTGCCTTTCAAATTCATTATTTTCTTAAATCGCAATTTTGTTTTTAATTTTTAAGTAATAAATAAATATTTTGTTGGAATGCTTTTGGAAGATAAAATTTTGTCAAAATTAATTTTTAATAAAAAAATTTATTTGCTTCAAAAGAGTAAATTTAAGGATTAAAAACATAAAATAAAGCAATTTCTGGGAAATAATAATTAATAAACAACTAGATTTTTAGTAGAAATTTCACCTATAATTAAGATTAAAAACTCTTCTTTTAAAATTGTTGAGTTTGGGGCCAATTTGTAGCTGCAGGAATTGAACCATTTAAGAATGTACCGAAACCATTATTATGTGCTGAAGATTGTTGTAGATTTTGTTGTTGTTGTTGTGCTGCGAGTTGGGCAATAAGGTGTTGCTGTAATTTTTAGTTATTATTTATACAATGAATTTAAAAATGTTTGAACTTAACCGGAAAACTTAAAAACATTTTTCTGGAAATAAAACTTCTTAAGTCTAACCGGAAAACTTGTAAACTTATTTTTTTTCCGGAAAAACTTAGTTTTGAAACTTAAGCTGAAAAAGTAACCGGAACTTAAAAACAACCGGAAAAAGTTAAAATAAGCAAATAATTCTAATAAGCAAATAAGTTTTAAATAGACAGAAAACTTAAGTCAGCGATATATTAAACTCAAGTTTAAAGTTTGTGAAACTTCGATTTTAAGTTTGCAAACTAAGTTCAGTTAGAAGTTTGAACTTAAGTTTGAATTAAAATTTTTTACTCTTTATAATCCTGAGTTTTAAAAAGTCAAGTTAGTATGAATTATTTGCTTATTTTCCCCAATTACCGATTGTTGAAAAGTCGGCGGTTGTTGTACAACTCCTCCCATTATAACAGGATGTTGAAATATTGGTTGTTGCTGTTGTTGTGCTTGTGCCTGTAAAATAGCAGAAGCTAATGCTAATTGTTGTTGTTGCTGAGAAATTGCGGCAACAATCGCAGAATTTTGTTGATTATTCAAAGCAACATTAACCGAATCATTATTTAATATCCATCCCTTATCTCCTCCTTTCCCACTATTATTATTATTGTTTTGTTGTTGTACAGGCTTTCCCCATTTAACACGCAAACGGCATTTCCCTCCAACTATCCCTAAATTTAATTCTTTTCCATGCATTTCCAAAATTGCTTTTGTAGCTGAAGTTTTGTCAGAAAATACAACGAAACCAAAATTTTGTGAGGCGAAAAGACGTATTTCTTTAATTATTCCGAACTCGCTAAAAGCTAATTTTATCGGTTCTTCTGTTGCTGCACTTGATAAACCACCCAGGTATATTGTTGTGTTATCCGCTTCTGTGGAGTTGTAGATTGATTCGAAGGTTGCATTTGAGTTGGAATACTGTATTTTTTAAATATTTTTTCGAAATACTAATATTAGAGATCAACGGGTCCGAGACCCGGACCCGTTCCCGGGTCCCTTTTCCTGTTTTTTTAAGCAACCGGGATGAAACCGGGAACGGGAATTCCCGGTTTCCGGACCCGGTTTTTTCGAATTCCTATCTCTAACTTTTATGTTTTTCGAGATTTTGAATTTTGACCGTTTTGAGTCTTTTTATATTTTTATATTTTGACATTTTTTAATTTTTGGTCTCCGAATTTTCTCCAGAATTAAATTCAAACAGTACCTCTTCCTTTTCATCTTCTGACCCAACTTTTAGTTGTTCGGTTCCACTCCGTCTAATAGCCCAACCCGTTCTTATCGCTCTCCTACCTAACTGAACTCCGTTCATTTCCTCAATAGCCCTTTGAGCGTCTTCTAGAACAAAAAATCAGAAGTTTTGGGATTTTTAAAAATAAATTTGCCTTTTGAAGGGTAGGCAACAAATCCAAAAGAACGAGATTTTGTTGATTGTGGATCTCTCATTACTTTGGCTTCTCTTTAAAATAATTTTTCACTATAGGTATACAGACATTAAGCAGCTTACGAGACTTGCCCTAACTTGCTAAAAGCGTCATATAACATTTGATTATCAACATCTTGTGAGAGATCACCGACAAATACGTGAAAATGTTCTTTAAAAGAAATTTTTTAAATTGGGGATATGTGTGATTTTATTTAACTTTTATTACAGTCAAATCTCATTTTCAGATGCCTACTTAGTAATGAAAAAATTGTACCTCATACGAGAGGTCCCTTAACCTCACCCAGAGACCAACCATTTTTTCAAAATATACCTTAAATTGGGGGGTATTAAGGGTATTAAGGGTCTATCCAAAAATGAGGTTCAAACTGTATTTGAATCTTACTGCTTGTATCTATTTTTAAATTTAATTGTTGTGATTGTTGTTGAATAAGTGCATTAATAGCCATTGCTTTAAACTCCTATTTAAAATTATTTTTAAATTATTCATATTTAATAATTAATTTACAGCGGCACGTTGTAGTGCATTGAGTGAAAGAGCACCATTGTTTGGCATTACAAATATTGGGAGACCCTAAATAAATAAATTAAAAATTTAAAATCAAATTATTAAAATATTATTAAAATTTTCCCCTTTTGGATTTTTCCGGAAAACTTGAAAACTTAAGTTTGTGAAATAATACAAAATTTAAATCTTTCTCTACGAAATTTAAATCTTTCTCCTTTATTGCTTTAAATATGTATCATTGCATAAATTAAACTAAAAACAAAAAATTAAATTTTTACTTCAAAAGCATTTGGTGTACTAACCAAACCATTATTTATTGCTCCTGAAGCAGCAATCGCCGCCGTTTGACGCTCAATTTCTTGTTGCTGTTGAAGTTGTGGAAAGTGTAACAAATTTAATGAATTTTGGGGGGAAAGTGAAAAGCTTGGTAACCCAAAGGGGCCATAATTTAATGAAGCGAGAGAAAATGGGGTTGTAGTTTGTGGAAGTGAGTGATTATTTTGTTGCTAAAAATTTAATTTTAAAAAAATTAAAAAAAAAAAAATTTTTTTTACTTGTTGCCCATAAAGTATAGATTGTTGTACTAATTGTTGTAATTCAGCAGAAGACGAAGTAAAAGAATTATTTAACATAGAGGAGGGGGATGTATTTTTGTTAGGTAGTTGTTGCTGGTATTCTGGTGGACGATGACGGCCTTCATAAATTATTTCCATTAAAAAAATTTTTTTGGAATAAAATTAAATTTATTAATATTTTCAGAGGTCTATGACTCTAAAAAATTTTAAAAATAAAAATAAAATGCCTGAAGAGGCGGAAGAGGAACTAGAAGCAGAGGAGGATGATGTATTTTCGTTCAACAACCCATTAGTTAACACAGGAATATTTTTTTGCTTTTCACTTTGCATAATATTTAATGATGAATCAAACGTAGTTTTGGGTAATTTTGAATAATTCTGTTTTTTATTAATTAAATATTTTTTAAATTCCTCCTCTTCTACAGCAGCCGATGTGGACTGCTGCGAATTTTGGGGCTTTGGACGCTTCAGTTTTTTTTTATTTTTTAATTAAATAATTTTTAAAATTATTATTTATTTATTTAATAATTGGGAAGCTCTGAAAATTAAAAAAATTTTTGAAAATTAATTTTTATTTTTAAAAAATCGTTGAAGCAACAAATAAAACAATGTAAGAAGCAATATGCTACAACTTAAACAAAACCAAAATTTATAGTAAATTTAAAATTAGAATTAAATCAGAATTAAAAATAAAACTTGGTATCAGAATTAATTTATTAAATAAACTTGGAATAAAAAAATACAAAAACACAAAAATACAAAAAATACAAATAAATGTTAAGTAAATAAACTTGAAATCAGAATATAATTAAATCAGAATTATTTTTGTATTTTCTTTGTATTTTCAAGTTTATTTAAAAATCAGAATTAAAACAAGTTTATTTTTTGAGAGAGAGAGAGAGAGTACTATTTTATAAGAGACATTTAGAGAGATTTTACAATAGACAATTACAATATTAGAGAAAATACAAAAATACAGATATTTATAATTTGTTTAAAACAAATAAAAAATATATAGGATAAAGCATAAAATACATATAAAATTATGGATTTGCCCAAAGGGTAGAATAAAGGAAAGAAGTAGGAGGGAGATAGGAAGTGAGTGGAAGGAAAGGAGGGGATTTACACGAAGAATTTGAAAATAAATAAAATAAAAGGAAGGGGAAAGCTGTGCCACTTTTCTTATTTTTCCTTTTTGTTCTTTCAATCTTGACAAGACTTGGCAAAAAAGCCGAAAAACCCCCTAGGGCAAAATTCCCAAAAGTGCTCCTTTGAGAATATTGGACTTGAAGTAGAGAGCAGTAAGTCCTTAAAGAGAATAATGCTTTTGCCATAAAAGCCTTTTGTTTATAAATAAAAAGCAATATGCGAGACTAAACTTAAAATACAAAGAAAAAACACATTTTGTAGAAAACCAGAATTTTTCAATTTTAATAAATACAAAAATAAAATCAGAATTAAAAATAAACTTGGAATGTATCAGAATTAATTAAAAATAAACTTAAAATAAAATACGAAAAACACAAGAAAATACAAATAAAAATACATGAGTAAATAAACTTGAAATCAGAATAAATTTTGTATTTTATATGTGTTTGTTATTTTCAAGTTTATTTAAAATAAGAATTTAAAATAAACTTGAAATACAGAAAATACACTAAAATACCAATAAACTTTTTCTGCTTCAAGTTTATTTAAATTAATTCTGATAAGTTTTATTTAATTCTGATTTTATTCTTGTATTTTTCCCAAAAATAGGTATAAAATATAAAACTGCCTATATTTATATTGCCATTAAATTTTTTTATTATATTTTTCGGCAGATTAGAGAAAAAATTTATCAATAATTTGTCTGGGCAAGTCAAGAATAGATGTTGGAAAGAAAAATAGTCAAAAATAAATATTTTTAAATTTTGGCAAATTTATTTTCTTAGAGAAAAGAAGGGGGATTAAGCAGCGAATTATGCAAATTTGAAGCAAAATAAATTTTTAAATTGATGGAAAATTCTGAAAAAATTTTTCTGAGGATTTTTGACAAGACAATTTTAACAAAATTTGACTTTAAAAATAAAAAAAAAATTTTTTTTTAAATTAATTGAATAGATAAAATTAAAATTGAATCGATTTAATTTATTTATTGACATGTTTAATTAGAAAAAATAAAAATAATTAAAATTACAGCTGAATGAGAATAGTTTATGTCACTTACATGTAAAGCCATTAGAAGCTTTAAACTATAAATATAATTTAAAAAATATTCATTTAATTGTTAAGGCTGTAAATAAAAATATAAACTCTTAAGAGAAAGAATTCTGATTTTTAATTAAATTCTAATTTTTAATTCTGATTTTTAACTTTTTTTCTGATTTTATAATTAAATTAAAGGAGAAAAAAAATAAAGAAAATACATAATAATTCTGATTTAATTAGAATAAGAAAATACAATAAAACACAAATAAACTTGAAATCAGAATATTAATAAATCAGAATTATTTTTGTATTGTGTTAAATAAAAATACATATTCTGATGCTAAAAGAAAACACAATATTCTGATTTTATAATAAAATACATGAATTCTGATTTTTTGTGTTTTTGTGTGTTTTTGTGTGTTTCATCAGAATTTTGCTAAGTATTTTCTTTATTAAAATAAAAATACAACAAAATTCTGATAAAAATACATAAAACACAAGTAAACATAAAAATACAAAAAGTTGAAGCAAAAAAGTTTCAAACATTTTTAATTACCTAAAATAATTTAAAAAAATCTTTTCAATTGTTTTTAATTTTTCTTTTTAATTTTAAAATTATTCACGTCTTGACAGAAAATAAAAATAAAATAGAAAACAAAAAAATATTTTTTTATTATGTCATAGTCAGCGTGCTTTCCAATGATTTTCCTTTTTCTGGATGAAGCTAAAAATGTTTTTTTAAAAAAAGTAAAAATAAAAGGGAATGATTGGATGATGATTCGGAAATTATACAAGGTGTTTAAACAAAAATAGAGAGAAAATTATATTTTTTTTGGGAATGTAGAAAATTGTTTTGTGAAGGTAGCAATGAATTTGTGTTGAATTTTAGTCATTAAATTGTGGAATATTTATTGGAATATTTGTAAAAAATTTAATTTTTAGTTTTCCTGAGGAATTAATTTTTAACCCATCTGAAAGATAGGGAATTTTTCGAGGTGGGGAATTAATCGAGGCTTGAAATTTGAACGTGTAGTAGGGTAGTTGGAGGTGGGTAATCATTTAAAGTGGGGAGAGCGTCTTTGGGGGAGAGTGTCTTAGATGCTTAGAATTAATTTAGTAAATACGTTAATTAAAAAAATTTTTTTTGAATTAAAAAATTGATTATTTGATTATTCTGTCAAATGATGAAAATTGATTCCATGTCTGATTTCGTGTATTAAAATTTAAATAAAATTTAAATAAAAATATGTATATAAAAAAATTTTCGACAAAATTAACTTTGAGGAAAGGTTTGCCATAATAAGGGAGAAGATCAGAGAGCTACATATCTTCTTATTTGTTTAAAGCTTTGGAATTCAGAATTCAAATTGGAAGCTTCGAGCGTCTTCTCTTCGCTTCCGGTTACATTTACATATCCTCAAAACTAATTACTAACTAGTTAATAACTGAGGAAGTAGAGAGTGTCTTAGCTCGACCTACTTGCTTCAAATTTAAAAAATAAAATAAAGCATGAATAATATTTAAAATATTTAAATAAAACAGCTGGAATGGGACAAGGATGAAGCAAAATTTTTATTTTTTCAAATAAAATTTGCTGTATATTTTCCTTCTTCATTATTTATAATAAATATTTAACAAGCACATAAATGCATTTAGAGAGCCTATTTTACTTGAAGATAACTAGGGAGATAGGGAAGGGGATAAGGAGGAAGGTGAGGGGGGGGGGGTAGGGAGAGGGAGGGGTAGGGAGAGGGAGGAGGGGAAGATAGGGAGAGGATGGGGAGAGGGAGAAGGGAAAGTGGGGGAGAGGGATGAGGAGGTGGGGGGAGGTAGGGATGTGGGGGATGTTCTCTCTTCCCTTCAGAAATTTTTTTCAATTGAAAAATGCATTTAAGCTAAGGCATTTATCTATTTTTTTTGTTTTTTTTTCAATTTTGAATGTGGCACTTATACGGCCATTCAATGCACTTACACCCATATTTCCATTAAATTGTTTTATATGTATTGCTTCAGAATTTAAATTCAAAGGACCGCTAATTTACTCCATTTTTAAGTTAAACAAACAAGTCTATTAATTAGTTAAAAAATAAAAATAGAGAGGAAAAAAAGTTGAATTTTTAATTTTTTAAAATCAGACCTGGTCATGGATAAGGATATGGATACAGATAATACCAAAATGCCTGCGGATATCCGCCTGTATCCGTCTGTATCAGACGTAAATATCTGGATACGGATACCTAAATCAGTATCCGTGACCAAATCTGTTTAAATTAATTTTATAGTAAAAATTATTTTTTTAGGTAAATTTTTTTTTTCAATTGAAAAATGCATTTAAGCTAAGTAAGGCATTTATCTATTTTTTAGTTTAATAAAGCTAAACTGGACTATTTCTCCTTCAGCTAAACAATACACACAAGGTAACCAGCATCTTCTAAGGTAACCAGCATCTTCTAACCAGCATCTTCTACATTTCTACTTCTACTTACTGGCGTACACCCCAACCTACTGCGGGCTCAACCTACCGCCGAGGCTATAACTTCGTTCAAAAGTGTCGAATCTGAAACAACTTAGTATGGTTGAATTTAGCTCGTCGAGGGGTATCGGTTGGCCTGCTCCCCTGAACTGAGCCTTTCCATCTTCTAGCCACTTTTGATTTATCTCAATTTTATGACTCACACAAATCAGCTTAAAAGACATGGATGATATTTAACTTTTATCACTTTACCGATATATTTCCGCTATTAATAATAATTCACTTCAATTTAAAAAATGTTTATTTAACTTTGAGTTATTTAAATTTTGTAGCGTAAACCACTCAATTATTTTCATTTTTGCGTGCATTTTTCTTTCATTTCTTAGAAATGTTATAATTTTGAATTAATTTTAAAAATTAAAAAATTTAAAAATTTAAGTACAAATAAAAACGTAACACTTTAAAATTTATTCAAGCGAAGAATTTTAATTTTAAAAAATATTAACAAAGCTAAACCCTCCGTTTATCCTTACTTATAAAAATAAAGTATCTCAAACTAATGCAAGGTAATCAAACGAGCAACGGCAGTCTTTTTGGAATTGAAATAAATCCAAATTTAATTACTCCGATCACTGGGCCTGTAAGTAGTTCAGAATTATTTTTAAAGGGAAAATTTTCCGGAAAAGTCCACATTTATTTTAATAGACATATCTATATTAATATATTACATATTTTTCCGGAAAGATATTTTAATAGACACATAAAGGTAGGGTACAGCCCAAAACGGCGCGCGGCCATAACGGCACAAAGCCATAACTTGATGGAAAATGTCTGGCTCTTGTCAATTTTGGTACCAATCTCTTTAGCTCTATTAGAGGAATCGTTTGATACTAAATCTGTTAGGATTAAGAAATCTTAAAGTAAGGTATGGCTTTGCGCCGTTATGGCCGCGCGCCGTTTTAAGCGTGTCCCATAAAGGTATATTACATATTTTTTCCGGAAAGATATTTTCCGGAATAAGTTTTTTCTGTTATAAAAACTAAGAATTCTATTTCCGGAATCAAAATAGAACCGGAATCTATTATTTTAATGACCACTTGTATTTACATATATATTTACGGAAAGATAGTTTCCGGAATTTTGGTAACTTTAATTCAATTTAAATATATTCTAACAGCTCTACCAAGCTTATGCCAACAACGGCCCCACCTGGCACATTGTTCTCCCTGCATCTCTTCTATTTACTGTAGCCCTCTTCGGCATAATCCTCAATTCTTTCGTTGTAATAGTCACAATAGCAACCCCAACATTGCGCGGATCAGCCAATTATTTAATGGCTTTAATTTGTTCTTGTGAGGTTTTACATGTTTCTGGACATTCTATATTTTTTGTTATTGCTGTTACCGGAAAGAATTTCGTTCCTTTATTGGCTGCTAATTTATTAATGATTGTAAGAGCGTAGAAATATTTATCAATTAACCCCGAAAATTATTATTTAGCCTTCAATTTTCGCTCTATGTACCTGTATGGCTTTAATGCTCTCCGCTGCTGTAGATAGACTTTTTGCTGTGGGAGCTCCTCAAAAGTATAAAATAATAAATTTTAATTTAATTCAGATAATTATTTTTAAGGCACACAAAGATCTGTATAGTCCACAAATACTTATACCTCGGTATTCATACTTTTGCCTGTATTACCTTAGGTCTTTTCAACGTCTACTATGCAACTAAATATTCAATTGAAAATCCAAACATGTACTTGATAAAAAAATTATTTTAATAAATAAAGTAATCTTACAGACCAACAACAGGATGTATAAGCGATTTGCTTTCGGGAAATGTTGGAAATCTATTTTTTATTTATTGTTCTAGTGTCAATATGTTGACAACATTGTGTTATATTTTAATATGGGGCATAATACGTTGCAAAAAGCAAGGCAAGTTTTCCGGAAACTTAAGAACTAGTGTTTCCGTGAGCTTAAAAACGTAGTTTTCCGGAAGCTTAAGAACTTAGCTTATTGGGAACTTAAGAACTTAGTCTTCCGGAAACTTAATTTATTTTTTCCGGAAACTTAAGATTTATTTTTTCCGGAAACTTAAGATTTATTTTTTCCGGAAACTTGAGAAAAGATTTAAAACCTAGGTTTCCGGAAATCTGGAAACTTAAGAACTCAGTTTTCCGGAAACTTAAAACTTAGGTTTCCGGAACTCTTAAAACTTGAGAACTTAGTTTTTTAAGATTTATTTTTTCCGGAAACTTAAGAACTTAGTTTTCCGGAAACCTTTAATAATCTTATTAATAGTTAGAATATAGTTTTCCGGAAAGTTATATGTATTTTTCCGGATAGTTATATTATTTACGGCGAATCTTTTTTTAATTTAGTTAGTCAAGAGACAAACGCCCGCTTGCTTCGTGCTTTAGTTTGCATTATGCTTATATCAGTTGGGGGATATATAGTCAATCTAGCCGTTTATCAGGCAGTATTTAGACTCATTATAAATGAAATATTCGATCCAATTCTACTTTGGCAACTTGCTTTCGTTGCGGGGGTTTTGTTAAACATTGGTGGGGCTTCCAATGCTATCGTGCTTTATTTTACGAGGTTTTTAGTTGAAATCTTTTTTAATTTAATTAATTTTCTAGTACTGAGTATCGCAAAGCATTTGAAAAGAATTTGACAAATTTGGCAAAATTATTTGGAGTCAAAGTCTCGATTAAGGTTACAAAAGTGTCCCCTATGTTGCCTACATCCTCGCAAAAGAAAAACTTTAATAATAATTAAAATAATTTTGATGTATATAATTAAATTTATAATTGAATTTAAAGATGAGCTTTCTAAATAAATAGATGCAACTAGATAAATATAATTACACACACAAACATTTTGAATACTAATTTGAAATAAAAAATTTTTTCGTCATATTTTTTGTCATAATTTAAATTTATTTTTAATTTTTGGAAGAAAGTATATAATACATAAAAAATGGCATAAAAAATATATTTAAATCATTATTTGTTTAATAATTATTTCCATTCTTGCTGTTCTTATAGCTACTTGTATGAAGCATAGGGCCCATCATGGTCACTGTATTTGTGCCCTTTAATCCGCAAGCTTTGGCCACGTTTTTCAAATGGTGTTTAAACGTTTTTCTGTATTCAGAACTAAAATGAAAATTTAAATATTAAGGAAATTATTTCAGAAAACCTGGTAAAATAAAGAATCAAAGCATTTGAAGCAGCCCCAAGATTTAATAAAATTCCGGGGATGAAGCTAAGTTGCCAGAGAAGAATTTGACTGAATATTTGTTCTTCGATGAGTTTGAAGAACGCTTGATATACTGAAAGATTTATGATATATCCACCAATGGAGATAACCATAATACAGACAAGGGAACGTAGTAATCGAGTATTTGTTTCTTCAGAGACTAAAAACAATACAAATATAAAAATGAAACATACATAAAATAATTAGTATCATTATTCTTAAGACTAAAGTTTTCCGGAAACTTAAGAACTTTATATAACGGAAGACTTAAGTTCTTAAGTTTCCGGAAACCCTTAGTCTTAAGAATAATCATATTAATTATTAAGGTTTTCCGGAAACTTTTGTTTTTTCCGGAAACTTTAGAAACTTTAATACCGGAAGACTTAAGTAATATACCGTATATTTATACAAAACTTAAGTTTTTTCCGGAATACAATTATTATTTTTTCCGGATTATAACGTTAATATTCATGAAAATAAAAGTTTTCCGGAATATATATGGAACTTAAAAATATGTCTAAAAACTTAAGTTTTATGGAAAACAAGTTCTTCCGGAATATCCACATACATATTTTAATTTTTTCCGGATTATAAAATTAAATTAAATTAAAACTTAAGTTTTAAGTATCCGGAATATATTTGAGTGGTTCCGGAATATTTGGTTACAAGTAACAGGAATATATCTACGTAGTAAACTTAAGTTTTCCGTAAATCCTTTACGGATTATAATTTTTAAATTAAACGTTTTCGGTTAATCCAGTAATTTGTTTAATTATTACCTCCTTTATTACAACGTATAATTATCCATATTAAAATATAACACAAAGCAGTTAATGAATTAAAAACTGCGCTATAAATAAAATATTGAATTCCTACATCTCCAGCAAGAATATCAGCAATACAGGAAGTTATCGGTCTTAATTTATACGTGAATATTTTTTATATTTTTCTTACATATTCGGATTTTGTATTGAAAAAGCTGTGATAAAATAAAGGCCATAAACACCACATAGAGCACAGAATGTAGTATGTACCCCAAGATATGCCCGTTTATGTTCTATACAGATGGATTTGTGTCTTAATTTGTTTAAAAAAATTAGTTTAAAATTAAAGAAATTTCAAGTACAAATGTGGAATGGCTACAGCAAAAAGTCTGTCAGCAGCGGCACTAAGCATTAAAGGCATGCAAGAACAAAGGGCAAAAATTGAAGGCTAAAAATAAATTTTCGAGGGTAATTGATGAAATTAAGCCCTTACAATCATTAACAAATTAGCAGCCAATAAAGGAACAAAATTCTTTCCAGTAACAGCAATAACAAAAAATATAGAATGTCCAGAAGCATGTAAAACCTCACAAAAACAAATTAAAGCCATTAAATAATTGGCTGATCCGCGCAATGTTGGGGTTGCTATTGTGACTATTACAACAAAGGAATTGAGGATAATGCCGGAGAGGGCTACAATAAATAGGAGAGATGCAGGGAGAACAATGTGCCAGGTGGGGCCGTTGTTGGCATATGCTTGGTAGAGCTGTTAGAATATATTTAAGTTAAATTAAAGTTAACAAATATTTCGGAAACATTCCGGAAATATATATGTAAATACAAGTGGTCATTAAAATAATAGATTCCGGTTCTATTTTTATTCCGGAAATAGAATTCTTAGATTTTATAACAGAAAAAACTTATTCCGGAAAATATCTTTCCGGAAAAAAATATGTAATATACATACTATGTGTGTCTATTAAATATCTTTCCGGAAAAAACCTGTAATACATTATATGTTTATGTGTCTATTAAATATCTTTCCGGAAAAAATCTGTAATATATGTTTATGTGTCTGTTTATTAAATATCTTTCCGGAAAAAAGATTATGTATATAATATACCTATTTGTGTCTATTAATATAAATTCTGACTTTTCCGGAAAAGTTTCCCTCTAAAAATAATTCTGATATATAAATAAACAATTTAAATAATTTAGAATTATATTTCGGAAAATATTTATATTTCCTTCCGGAATTTTATTAATTAATTACCGGCATTCCCAAACTAGAGTTTATTTCAATTCCAAATAATCCGTTGTTACTTTGATGATCGACCATTTTATTTTTTTAATTAGGAAATAATTTTTCTGAAATTTAATTTTAAAATTATCAGTGATTATTTTATTTTTAAATTAAAAAAATTATTAAACTAAATTTGGAATAATATGTAAAACATATAGCAATTTTAGGTACTGTTTGCATTAATTACCTTCCGGAAAATTATATTCCTGCAAGAAAATAGTATATTTTTTCCGGAACCAGATTGTATGCAAATACTGAGTCTCTATGTTTTTTATTAAGATTACAGGATATTTTAATAATAAAGATTACAACAACAAAAAAAATTTTTTTTGACACGATTTCCTAAATCTGTGCTCCTAAATGAATTTAATGTCTCAAATTAAATATGCCTTCAAAAAATTTTTAAAAAATAATTTTTAATTATTTATTATTGAGAATAAGCAAATTTAATTATTATATGGAAATTCTATTTCTTTGTAAATTAAAAATAAAAATTAAAAAAAATTTATTGTGCTAGTTTTGTTGCTTTTATTAAATTAAATAAATTCCAAACAAAAAAGAAAGTTTTTCTTTATAGTAGAAACAATGGAGACCAATTTGGCTCGAATTTTATTATTAAATAAAAGAAACTAAAATTGAATTATTTACAAAAAGTTTTATGAAAAGCTAAATTTAAAAAATGTAGAAAAATTCATCATTAAAATACCTAAATTTTATTATAAAATTAGTGAGAAAAATTAAAATAAAATTCTTGGTAAACTAAACAATAAAGATTGAGGTTGGAATTGAGGTTTTTAGACTAGAGATCGAGCCAAGAAGAGATCTCGGTCAAAAATCTGGGTTATATGAGTCAAGATTTTTTCGAGATATCACTTCTCGTACGGACCTCCCAGTCCAATCTCTAGTTTAGGTTATCGAGTGGCTATAACTAGACCGCGAGTCCGTGAGCTTAACCTATTTTTCAGATCATGGTCAGAAGAATTTCTTGATTTTAGTAGGAACGTCATGAAATTTGAGAGTAACCTTAGTCAGTTTTTTAGAGAAGAGATTTGACTTTCTGGTCTTTAGAAACTTCAGAAAGTAACGAAACTTCGGAATATACCGAAGCTGATTTCAATAATCAGCTTTGGTCATCCTTTTCTAATTGAAGAACTCTGCCTATCTGGTCTCCATAAATATCAAAACTGAGTTCAATAACATTTTTAGTGTTCCGAGACTTTTAATTAAATTTTTAAGTCAAGCTAGCTTTAAACAATTTTTTAAAATAAAAATAGTAAAATGAAAAATAAATATAAAATTTTTAAAAATTTATTTATATACCCATTATTATCTGTTATTATTTTAATTACGTATATTTTTACTGCTATTTTAGTTGAAAAAAGTTAAATGGCAGTTTAAATGCTTAAAAAACATTCCAAAATTGTGTAAAAATTATTTTTAGAATTTTTAAAATTTTAAAATAATTATTATAAATTTTATTAAAAATGGGGACATAATACTCGAATTAATTCTAAAAATTAGGAAATAAAGGAAATAAAGGCTTATAATTTTTATAATTGTTGAAAATTATTTTAATACTCTAAAATAATTATTTAGGGGAAATTTTACTTTTTTTCTATTTTTAGTAGTAAAATTAGGTAAAAAAGATTTTTGGAAGTTTAAATGGTCTTGGTCTTTTTAGGTCGTGGCAAGCCTATATTTACAAAATTTTATAAATTTTAGACGAAAGAAAATTTACAAAAGCAGGCTCAAAATAATTTTAATAAAATTAAGTAGAAAATTAAAAATTAATAAAAAAAATTTTTAATAAAATAAGTAGAGTGTAGAAAATTTAAAAATAGATTTAAATTAAAAATAGATTTAAAATGTTAATTTTATTTTTGAATAAAAAAAATTTTTTTTAATTAAAAAAATTGTTAATAGTAACAGTAGCTTGTCAGTTCATGAGTTCACACTCGAACTGAATCGAAGAACCGTGGATTTCTCAATTTGGTTCAGGATATATACGAAGATTTTCCAGGATTTGGCACCCTAGGTAGCAAGAGAACGATCAAGGATTTTCTCTTTGATTCGCTCTACCCATTCTCTTAAAAAATTTTTTTTTAATTCTAGAGGTATAAGAACAAGCACTTTTTTTAATAAAGAAATTTTTTTTAATATCAGAAAAATTGTTAATAGTGACAATAGCTTGTCAGTTCACACTCGAACTGAACCGAAGAACCGAGGATTTCTCAGTCTGGTTCAGGATATATTACGAAGATTTTCCAAATACTGACACCCTAATTTGTAGGTAGCAAGTGAACGATGCTCTCTACACATCCTTTAAAAAAAATTTTTTTTAATTCTAGTAGGTATAAGAACAGGAGGGGATTTAAAAACTCTCACTTGGTTTGGTTCAAGATATATGTATAGGAAGATTTTCTATGAACTGACACTCTAACATAAGTAGCAAGAGAGCTAGCAAAGATTTTTCTATGATGTTCTCTACCCATTCTCTTAAAAATTTTTTTTAATTCTAGTAGGTATAAGAACAACCGAGAATATAAAAAGTCTCTACTAGCTACTATAATACCTTTCCGGAAATGTATAATTAAATAATTTATTTCTTTCCGGAAAATATTATTTAAAAATAAATTCCGGAAACAAAAATTCTGATTTTCCAATAATAACGAATGGGTGTGTATAAGAGAATGAGAGGAGATTTAATTACTTTTCAAAAAAAATTTTTTCTATAATTTTTAAATAAAAATTGTGGATTTATTTTTAAAATTAATTTTGAAGGCGAAAAAAATTTTTTTAATATTTTTAAATAATTTTATATTAATTTGGCATTATTTATAATATATTTTGTAGTTTCTCTGAGTACTTAAATTAGAAGTTTTTGGTACGAAATAATATAAAATTAATTTTGTAGTGTAAAAAATAAAAAAATAAAAAATAAGAAAATAGTCACACGGAAATTATTTTTTAATGTTTCATTATACCGGAAGGAACAACTATATTTGGGAATAAAGGGAAATAAATATCAAAAAGCGAGGTGGCACGAGGTGAACTAAAAATTGAAAAATAAAAAGTATGTCTTTTAAAAAATATGGGAAAAATTCCCCAAATTAAAGTGTCGAAGCTCTGGGAGAATAGGGAAATTCTGGGAGAATTGAAGGAAAAATTCTGGGAGAATTTTAATTATGGGAAATTCAGGGAAAATTTAAAAGATTAAAAACTCGTGTTAGAGGCCTCCTAGTAGTTGATGAAGTCTGTATAGACAAAAAACATTCCCACAACTTAATTTAATTTCTATTTAAATTTTCATGTTTGTGATTTCTGGCACCTAAAAAATTTAGGGAAAATTCAAAATTGCTGTGGCACGAGGTGAACTAAAATTGAAAAAGGAACAAAAAATTCTCTAAAAATTTAGGGAATATTTTTTAATTTTTAATTTTTGGTTAAAATGATTTTTAATTTAACATTTATATAGTTATTTGGGAATATGGGAAATACATACATAAATATGTATCTATAGGGAAATACATAAATATCAAGAATTGAGGCGGCTCTAGGCGAGAAATTGAAAAAAGAAAGTGCTTTTTTTAGTCGTGAAAATTCCAAAAATTAACTAAAAATGTGACGAAGCTCTGGGAGAATTGTGAAATTCTAGGAAAAATTCTGGGAAAAATTATGGAAAATTTTTTGTTGAATTTATGGGAAAGGAAAAAGTCAGGTTCAATATCTCCTGTAGTAAAGTAGTAGTCTGTGAAGTCTGTTGTCTGTTAGCTATTTATAATTTTGTTCCCAGAAAAATTTTAAACATTTGATTTTTAAATTTTTCCCTTGACGTTAAAAAAATTGTTCTCGTTACGCTAAATAGCGTTAAGCCTGGATTAAATAGAATCAAATAAATTTGTTAGATTTTATATAAATTTGTGATATTTCAGTATTGCATGATAAAATTGCATGTTTATTAAATAAAAATTATTCAAAAAATAGCATAAATATGAACAATTGTTGACTAAATAGAAAAATAATAAAATAATTTAGTACATACATAAATTAAAGAATTTTAAAAATAATAAATAAAAAATTTAAATAAATGTTATTAATTTCTGCAAAATAAAACATTCATGAAAAATAGAACAATTATGAAATCATACATAAGTAGAATAAACAACAAAACTCAAAACTCAAGAAAACTTAAGCTTGCAACTTAGAAAAATTAATGCTTAATATAATTCTTTCAGGAATCTAATAGGTAGTATATACGAATTTAGTAGGTATACATATAATAAAATTCCGGAATAATATATTAACTTTCCGGAATTAATTAGATAATAATATAATACCTTTCCGGAAATTTAAGCGTTAATATAATACTTTCCGGAAATATAATTAATAGTAGAGAATAAACTAGGAAACTCAGATTGCAAACTTAAGTTTACAAGCTTGAGAGTTTTCCGGAATTAATGCTTAATATAATACCTTTCAGGAAATAATTCTTAAATAAATATTTCCTTGCGGAAAGAATTATTTTAACAAATAAATTCTGATTTTTGTGACAAATAGAACTTTTACGGAAATAAAAATTCTGGTCTTTTATTAATAAAACACTGCTTTTATAAACTAAGCATATGTATTGGATCCGTAAGCTAAATATGCTTGGATAAACATAAAAAGTTTAATTGACTCCTCCCACTTCTAGGATGTCTCCGCCCTCAAAATTAATAAATTAAAAAAATATTTTGATTTTCTAATAAATATTTTTCTTGTTGCTGCTTTTAATTGTACTAGGGATTATTGGAGCCACTGCAGTAACTGGATTTATTGCTTTAAATCCACAATGAATAGCCAAGTTAAACAAATACTGCTTCATAGATTTGTGGTATTCTTTGCTGAAAATATTTTTGAAAAATTTATTTGGATTTTCTCAAAAACCTAGTAAAATAAAGAATTAAAGCATTTGAAGCAACCCCAAGATTTAATAAAATTCCGGGGATGAAGCTAAGTTGCCAGAGAAAAATTTGACTGAATACTTGTTCTTCGATAAGTTTGAAGAATGCTTGATATACTGAAAGATTTATGATATATCCACCAATGGAGATAACCATAATACAGACAAGGGAGCGTAGTAATCGAGTATTTGTTTCTTCAGAGACTAAAATTGGTATACTATTTATTCCGGAAAATGAAGAAATTTTGTGCTTCCGGAATATACATTATTTCATATTTGCTTGTCTATTCATTCCGGAAAATAAATATACATTTCCGGAATTTACTATTCTTTTAAAAATAAATTCTGCTCTTTCCGGAAAGATATCTAATTTTTCTTTTCCGGAAGTATCTCGAAGTTGCTTGTTATATTTTTCCGGAAAATAAATATCTTTTCCGGAATTTTAAAATTTTATTCTTTCCGGAAAATATACTATGTATATTATTTCTTCCGGGAACATTTAATATTTGTTATATTTTTCCGGAAAATTCCGGAAGATAAATATCAGTTTCCGGAAAATTCCGGAAAATAAATATCAGTTTCCGGAAAATTCCGGAAAATAAATATCAGTTTCCGGAAAATTCCGGAAAATAAATATCAGTTTCCGGAAAATTCTGGAAAATAAATATCAGTTTCCGGAAAATTCCGGAAAATACATGAATATCAAGTTTTCCGGAATTTTCTATTCTTCTGAAATAAAATTCTGTTCGTTCCTAAAATATGAATTCTGATTTTATTTAATAAACTTAATTTTCTCACCACCTTTAGTGCATCTTATAATCACCCAAATTAAAATATAACACAGTGCAGTTAACGAATTAAAAATTGCACAGTAAATAAGATATTCAGTTCCAACAGCTCCAATAAGAATTTCGCTAAGACAACCCGTTGTGGGGCTAATAAAATTTATTTTTGAATAAATTAAATTTAATTTTTACATATTCGGATTTTTAATTGAATATGCAGTGATATAGTAAAGACCATAAACACCATAAAGTGAACAAGCAAAAGTGTGAATGCCGAGATAAGTCTTTTTATGTTCTATACAGATTGATTTGTGTCTTAATTAATTAAAAATATTTATTTAAAAATTAATTAAATTTCAAGTACAAATGTGGAATAGCAACAGCAAAAAGTCTGTCTGCAGCGGCACTGAGCATTAGGGCTATTGTCATATTTATAGCGAAAAGCATATGCTTAAATAATTAGAAATAGTATGCATAATTTTATTTTCCGGAAAATTATAAATGTATTATTTTCCGGAAACTTATATATATTTTCCGGAAACTTAAATATATTTTCCGGAAACTTATATATATTTTCCGGAAACTTATATATATTTTCCGGAAACTTATATATATTCCGGAAACTTATAAATGTATAAATGTTTCCGGAAAATTATAAATGTTTCCGGAATAATTTTTATGTTGTATTATAGTTCCGGAAAAATATATTCTAGATCCGGAAAAATTAAAACGAAAATTACGGAAAATTAATAAATGTTTCAGGAATAGTATTCACTTTCCGGAAAATATAGATTCTGATTTTTTCCGCAAATATAATTTCTTCTGGTATATTATAGACTTAATTCTTATAACCCTTACAATCATTAACAAATTAGCAGCCAATAAAGGAACAAAATTCTTTCCAGTAACAGCAATAACAAAAAATATAGAATGTCCAGAAGCATGTAAAACCTCACAAAAACAAATTAAAGCCATTAAATAATTGGCTGATCCGCGCAATGTTGGGGTTGCTATTGTGGCTATTACAACGAAAGAATTGAGGATAATGCCGAAGAGGGCTACAATAAATAGAAGAGATGCTGGGAGAATAATGTGCCATGTTGGGCCGACGTTGGCATAGGCTTGGTAGAGCTGTTAGAATTTATTTAGTTCTTTCTAATTTATTTTTAAATATTTTAACAAATTAATCAACTCACTGGAGCTCCTAAATCAGGATTAATTTCAATTCCAAACAGACCATTGCTGGTTTTATTAGAAGACATTTAATTATTTCTGTTTATTTAAATTCTTGTTTTCGTTGAAAATAAGTTTTAATTAAATTCTAATTCTTTCCGGAATTGTACAAAGCTATTTCCTTCCGGAAATGTATATAACTTCTGATTCTGAAAATTTTTTCCGGAAATGAATATTGATAAATAACACTGGTATATTTATTATTCTGAATCTTTGTAAATTCTGATTTTTCCGAAATATTTCTTTCCGGAAATACTAATAAATTCTGGTTTCTTTCCGGAATTAGACAGTTATATTTTTTCTGAAAAATAAATTCTGATTTTTCGGAAATAATTAAATCCTGAAAATTCCTTCCGGAAATGGATATCACCAGAATTACTTATATTCTGAATCTATACTATAAATTCTGATTGTGATGAATTATTTTAAAACTCCCTAAAACGGAAGAAAAACTTCCTAAACACTTCCTAAAACGGAATTTATTTTTAAATTTTTTTTTAATTATAATAGTCAGAATTTATAATTATTATAAAATTTTTTCTACTTAATAGAAATAAATTTAAGCCATTTATTAAAATAATTATTTAAATATTTTTAATTAATGAAACATTATAATTTATATAGTCATTGTTAGCTTAAATGCGTGAGAGCTTTCTTTAAAAAAATTTTTTTAATGATCGTACGATTTTACATCAACCTCATAGTAGGTACAATCGGTACATTCTCTAAAGACTACAAATTTTAATTAAAATATAAATTTTAAGTATTTATTGAACATTTGAGCCTTAAATTTAAAGCCTTTATTGTTGCTATTTTAGTCATTAAAAATATTTTTTAATTAATTTATTTATTTTTAAGCTTAGCTTAAATCTAAAATATATTCCAAATTAATACATAAATCATCTTTTTTCATCATATAAAAATTAAATAAATTATATTATAGTTCCGGAAAATTCAGGAAATTACGGAATAATATATTTTGGATCCGGAAAAATTACGGAAGAATATATTACAGTTCCGGAAAAATTCCGGAAAAATTTTTTATTTAAAAATTTTCTGATTTTTGTATTATTTGTGAAATAATAATCTTATGCTACCTAATTTAGAAATAAATTTGTTTTAGTTACTGTGAGAATTAATGTATTAATTCATTATTTATGATAAATTTGGATTAATTAAAAGAATATTAATGTCGATTACGTCATATAAAATTTTGAGAATATAAAAAATATATATAGTTTATTTAAAGTCGGTTCTTATTATAAAATAGAGATCTGACTATTTGGGGCCCAGAATTTCAAAAAAAACCCCTTAAACAGAAGAGCCGAAGAAGATCATTGAGCTGAGACGCCGAGTAAGATCCCCCTAGAAGGCCGAAGAAAAATATTTTTAAGCTGAAACACCGAATAGGGCATGCCAAAACCCATAGAAAGCAGGACCAGGATCTCAATCTGATCCTACTATGAAATACACCCTCTAATTCACCTCAAGTTAATTGTAAGACATCTTTTTTGAAGCGGGTTTTTTCTAGTTAGGATATCCCTCGTTATAAAATAAAATTAAAAAGGATAACTAAAGAGGCATATCTAAAAATGACTTTGGAGGTAATATTTTTAATAATAAAATTTGCAATAAATCTCTCATTTTTAAAATAAATAAAGAAAATTGTTGACTTAATAATAGCTAAACTGATTCTGAATAAAAGAAAAATAAAGCAAAAATTCATTAAAAATTATACTAACTATTAATTTAATAGAAAAAATTCCATTTTAGGAAAAAATAAATTATCTAATTATTATATAAATATGAAAAAAAATTTTGGATAAATATGCAACAATTTTTAATTACTTAAAAAAATATTTTTCTAGCTATTAAAGTAGTAATTATTTTTAAAAAATTAAAAATAGAAGATAAATAATTTTGTAGTATTTTTTTCGTGACAACAAAACGAAAACTAAAATAAAAATAAATCTTTTGATTTTTCCGCTATTGTCATGCGACTTAATAATTAGTATTTAAATTGTTGTTGGCTATTATTCACAGTATTACTAATAATATTTAATTAATACATAGAACCTTTTATTTTTCCGGAAAGTCCGGAAACCTTTTATTTTCCGGAAAATCCGGAAACCTATTATTTTTCCGGAAAATCCGGAAACCTTTTATATTTCCGGAAAGTCCGGAAACCTTTTATTTTCCGGAAAATCCGGAAACCTATTATTTTTCCGGAAAATCCGGAAACCTTTTATATTTCCGGAAAGTCCGGAAACTTTTTATATTTCCGGAAAATCCGGAAACCTTTTATATTTCCGGAAAGTCCGGAAACTTTTTATATTTCCGGAAAGTCCGGAAACTTTTTATTTTTCCGGAAAATCTGGAAACCTTTTTATATTTCCGGAAAATCTCGAAATCTTTTATATTTCCGGAAAGTCCCGAAACCTTTTATTTTCCGGAAAATCTGGAAACCTTTTTATATTTCCGGAAAATCTCGAAATCTTTTATATTTCCGGAAAATCCGGAAACCTATTGTTTTTCCGGAAAATACAAGAAAATACATTTTGTATATCCGGAAAATGTATATTCCGGAAAAGTCAACATACTTCAAAAATACAAGCAGAAATACGGACAGTGTATTTTCCGGAAACATTTAAATCTATTAATATTTTTACAACTGCAGACTTGCATTTTCCGGAAAGTTTTACAATAATTATTTTCCGGAAATATTATTTTCAGTATATTTTTCTTCAGTATATTTTTCTAAAATCAAAATTTGAGTCTTTCTTTAAAATTTAAAAAATTAAAAAATTCCGTATTTATCTCCAATTTACACGCTTAATTTAATTTTTAATTTTTTTCCTTTTATTTTAATTTAAGAAATATTCCAAGTTGATAATTCAAGTTGTTTACTATTGTGACGTTTTCATTTAATTATTTTAATAGAACAAATATACACCTATTTTTTTATTTTTTGTGTCTAAAATAAAAAAATTAAATAAATTTAATTTTGAGGTATTTAATGAATAAATAGGTATATTTTTGTCTTGATTAATTTTTTTGTAGTTAAATTAATTAATTTAATTTAAAGTTCATTTATTTAATTTTTAAGAAAAATATCTAAAATAGATAAAGTTAATTTAAAAGAAAGTTAATTTAAAAAAAAATTAATTTTAAATTTCTAGGGGTAAATAAAATAATTATTAATTAACGTAGGTAAAAATATTTGTAATTAAAAAAATACATTAGAAAGAACTGTGTTATTTTTTAGGACAGACGATATTAATTGCTTCCGGACAACCAGAATTGATAATAAAATTATTTTCCGGAAATAATATATAAAACTTTCCGGAATTATATTATTAAACTCTTAACTGGAAAAGTTAAATTCTTTCCGGAATATTATTAAAACTGACACTGCTTCCGGAAGATTATTTAATTAAAATATATCTAAATAAAAAATATTTATTATTTCCGGAAAATTAATTCCGGAAAATTAAATAATAAAATTATTTTCCGGAATTAATGTGATGAATATTCCGGAATAATACATACATATTATATGTATTATAGACTTAAATTCTAAACTAGGGAACTTAACCGGAAAACTTAAATTTATTTCCGGAAATATTAACTTACTGGAATATTATTAAAATTGACACTGTTTCCGTAATATTTGTGCTATAATGAAAGGACTGTAGCCATCACTAAAATTGTTTGAAAAATCAAATCTTCTCAAAATACCAACTTAAAAAATATTAAAATAAAAAAATAAATGTCCAAAATTTTCATGAAATCAAATATTTTGATTAAAAGTCGTTAAATTCAATTTTTGCCTTTTAATTAAATTCCCCACAGTAAATCATTAGGTCATTCGGTTAAAACTACCCAACCATAAACTTGTCGATCTCGCCTTGAACCTAAAAAATAAAAAAAGAGGCGCACTTCTTTTACTGGTTTTTTGATTTACAACCAAATAAAGTGTTCATTTATTTAATTTTACCCAAACTTTCTTTCACTTTTCTTCGATTAATTAAAAAAATAAAAAAAATTTATTTTAATATAAACAGAAGGAAAAATAATAAAAAATTTTTTAATTACCCATATTTTTAAATTATTTTTTAAATACCTTATAACGCGTATTAATTGCCCTCACTAGTTAATATCAAATGCCCCGCCACTAATCAAATGCCCTACCACTATATTATTAATGCTTTTCCAGAAAGTTTAATGCTTTTCCGGAAAGCCCTATCAAATGCCCTACCACACGTTTAAATTTCAAAATTAGAATAATTTCCCTCCCTCGATTAATATCCTTCCTTCTCCCTCCAGTAATTACCTAGGGTAGTTGTTATTCACGGAACTATGTATTTATGTAGCAAATATATTATGAATGCTTTTCCGGAAAGCTTCCGGAAAGCCTTAGCTGCTTAGTTTAACTTATACATATCTGTCTAACTTTTCCGGAATTTCTTTTTATTTTTGTTTCCGGAATGGCTGTTAGACACTATTAAAATTTTAAAATTTATTTTCACCTTCACAAAAAATTCCTTTAAAATTACAAAAAAAATTGACTCAATTTAATTAATATTAAGAGGAATAATGGTCGACAGAACTCACCAAGTCTACAGTATTGTTTATTCCAAAAAGTTTAGACGCTGGGCTTTTTATTTTTTAATTGTGTTTCTGGCAGGAATGACTATTTATGAGACTACTAATTTGGTAAAAAAAATATTTAAAAATTTTGGAATTAATTTAAAACCCTTCTAATTCATAAAGCTTCCCTAGACATTCTCCCTGATTTCACTCTCATTAATAAATATGTCTGTTCCGGAATTCATTTCTCTTCTTAAATTTTCTTCCGGAATTATCTTTCTCTCTGTCTATTTTCCGGAAATGTCTATGTCTATTTTCCGGAAATGTCTATTTTCCGGAAATATTTTCCGGAAATGTCTATGTCTATTTCCGGAAATTCTATTTCCGGAAATATTTTCCGGAAAATTCATAACTCATTTTATAATAAAGTTTCCGGTTTTTTCCGGATTCTAGTCAGACAAAAGCGAGATAGTGTGTAATTCCTGACAGTATTCTCTTAATTCCCTCTTCCCTCTTTCCTCGAAACTCTATTAAAAATCTTTTTAAACAAAAATTAGACTGCTGAATATTTGGGATTCCCCAAACGTGCTGATATGTCAATGCAATTCAACCGCACAATAATTTTTCCAAATATTACATTTTGTATGAGTAAAAGACAAGCATGGAGCCACTTTGGCAATTTTGGGGATTCTAGCGATTCTGGCAATTTTAGCAGCAATTTTGGAAATTTTAGCAGCAATTCTACTTTAACGACTTCAAACAGAGAATGGAACTCTGAAGTTGAGGTTTTTAAGGAGAAATAACTTTTAAAAAAATTCTCAAATTCAAGCAAATACTTGCCAAGATGCCAAATCATGACTCTTTTATGAATTCAAGTGGGTGGCCCCAAGAGCTCATTATGAGTGCTTATGAGGTAGAAAAAAGAAATGTTTTTGAAATTCAAAAAATTTTTATAAAGGCAATAGCAACACTAAACTCGCTAGAACGAGAAAAGATTGATTCACAAACTTTGGCTGATATTAAAGCGTTCCAAGGCAATCCGAAACATCAAGGATTGCGAACCTTAGTTAAAGTATGTGTTTGAATAATTTAAATTAGAGTTACAACGCCGACCCCCGTTCTGGAAGGATTCTTCATGTTGGAAGGATTCTTCATCACAACAACTAGAGAATCCCCGCAAAATTTGGAAACCCTGCATCCCGATCAGGGGTGGGGAGACAATCTCTAAAAACGCGAATACCCGCCCACCCCTGATCCCGATCAGAGAGATTGGAAAAGTCAGGGTTTGGGGTAACACTCCCATCCCTGATCCCGATAAGAATCTATATGCATATCTCCCTCATACGACCCGAACCCTGGCCCGACTAGAGAGACCTGCAGCCCGACATAATAGCCTTTGATCGTGAATCGATGAGTATATCTTCCTCACCCGACCAGAACCCAGGCCCGAAACAACTAGAGAATCCTGTAAGCCGATAAATATAGCTTCCTTCGATCCTTCGAAGTATAACCCTTATTAATATCAAAAGGAGTACTACCCTAAAATAAAAAAATCCCCAACTCCCTTCTATTAAAAATTTTATAGAAATGGCTAGCTGCAATTGCCGAACGCAAAGTTTCATTTAAAGATTTTACTCAGAAAGTTGGAATTGAAACTCTAGAAAAGTCAAAAAATTATTTTATGAGAACAGGCTTTAATGATTCTGACAATTTTACTACATTAGTTCACATTTCTTGGCTGTCTAACAAACAACTATGTTTCCAACCTCTGTTTCCTAATGCGGAGAGTTTCAAACCTATTGAAGATCAAGTAGAAAAAAATATTTTTTAATAAACGCTAATTTTTGGCCTTTCAAAATTTTGGTTATTAACCATGTTAACTTATTTTTGAGGATCCGGTTAATGGAATATTTTCAGATATCCGAAACTGACTCGAAAAACCGGAGCAGTTCATCCCGAGTAAACTGAGTCCCGTGCTCTATCAATTGGTGCTAAGAACAAAAAAGATGACACCCCTTCATAAGTTATAGGGTCCGGGACTCAGTTAAGGTGTATCCATGAACTTCTTTGGTTCTGTTCCGAAAAGACACCCCTACTAGGAAATGGTGCTTCTTAAACAGAAACCCTGTCCAATATAGAAATTATTTTAAAAAATTCAGTAAGATGTTTAAAGGCTCAATAGAGTTCCATCAAAATATAGGTAATTTATACAGAATTATTTTAAAGGGCAAATTCTTCCAAATGGAGTTGGTACACAACCCTAGTGCCTTAAATGATAGTAAACAAGCAGAAGAGTGTATGTCCCTTGATCTTCATGGACGTCCTACTACTATGGCCAAGCATATGGAGGGAAAGGGACGTTCTAAGGATGGAACTACTGAAGGGGTAAACATGGGCCTAAGTCCCTAAAATTTCTGCCTTTTAAAGCTATGTCTTGGGCGTGTACACGAAACTAAAGTAGAGATACGTGGGCATTACATAATGCTCGAAAATGATGATGAAGCAACCGCTTGCAGAAATTATGATGATGTTGACGATGCTGAAGTTAACGAATTTGAATGTAGAAGTCGTTGCAGGATGCAGATGATTAGGGTAATTCTCGTTATTAATTAAACACTTGTTAGTACCGACAGGGTGAGGGATATAAAGGACGATATACATATTATCAGTACTGTCAGTACTGTAAGGATGATTCACCTAGCGATCTAGAAGATAAAAGAGAAAGCATTATTCGATGCCCCGATAGCTCAGTGGTCGAGCTCCTGTATATGACTTGCTAAACTCATTCTGTACTTGACCAAGTATCAGAACTTGAATCTTGATCTAGGACACTTTTAGGGGATTTACGGGTTGCTTTCCATTGGGTAGATCAGCTGACTTGGGTAGAAGGAATACTGAAGGGGTAAACATGGGCTTACCCTCAATATAAGATTCAAGTTCCCCGCAAGGGTGTATCTTATGGTATAAATCCGTATCTGATTGCAGTATATTTAAAAATATATTTTAGAGTTATTGTAAATGCACCCCATCAACACTCCAATATCTTGTTGCAGATGAGAAGGAATTTGTAAGATACCCTGCTTGTGATTACGAACAGTGTCAACTTCCGGACAAGTTAAACGATATTAGAATAACGGAAAATGTAAAAAAATTTCAGTGTGACAAATACTAACGAAAAAACCTGTGCAAAGGAATGCCTCCCACATTGTGTGCAGATTCGTTATTTAGTTCAGAACACACCTATGGGAAGATCCACTAATCCTGGTAATTTTTTAAAGTATCTTGAGGATAGTGGAAAAGATCAGAAAAGAAGAGATCATCGAAAGATCATTCATCTCATCCATATTCAAGCACATGAAGGAAGGAGTAGGGAGAGAATTTTCGTATAGAGAGGGAACCAAGAGTGAACCCGCTATCAGTCTTAGGCTCTCCTAAGAGCCTTCCAATATACTCATGCTAGAATGAGAGAGATTCGCCTTAAACTGGAGCCATATCCAAGGATGGTGTAGGGGTGCCCAATTTTTTGCTGTGCCTAACAGACAAGGGAGACAAGGAGAGATGGAAAGAATGAAGAAAGGTAGTCTTTAGACCTCGTCTTAAAGGTCTAAACCTATCGGTTTTAGGCTCTCCTCAAAGCTTTCCAATTTACTCATTTCTCCCTTGTCTTTAAAATATTTAATTTTAAAATTTATATATTTCCAGCCATTACCGACGTTAATCTGATTTGGGGTGCTTTTGAATATATGAATTTGGAACAAAAATATGTTTATACTTTGTGGTCGTTCATCTCTAGTATTGGAGGGTCTATAGGTGTTTGGTTAGGTCTATCCGCACTAAGCTTGATTCAACTTATTACTTTCCTAACTGAGAAAACGGCTGTTAAAGTTAACGAAAAGATAAAGAAAGATAAGGTTACTACTCCACATAAAGTGTCAAGTAATCAGCAGCCAAACAAAAAATACTCGACTGATAGTGCTAGGGAGAATGAAAAGAAGATTTCGATGAATCCGTTTGGTGGACCGGTAATTAAATTAAATTTCTTTCCGGAAAAATATTTTCCGGAAACATTTTCCGGAAAATCATAATTTTATAATTCCTTCCGGAAAATATTTTCCTGAGACATTTTCCGGAAAAACATAATTTTATAATTCCTTCCGGAAAATATTTTCCTGAGACATTTTCCGGAAAAACATAATTTTATAATTCCTTCCGGAAAATATTTTCCTGAGACATTTTCCGGAAAAACATAATTTTATAATTCCTTCCGGAAAATATTTTCCTGAGACATTTTCCGGAAAAACATAATTTTATAATTTCTTCCTGAAAATATTTTCCGGAGACATTTTCCGGAAAAACATAATTTTATAATTCCTTCCAGAAAATATTTTCCTGAGACATTTTCCGGAAAAACATAATTTTATAATTCCTTCCGGAAAATATTTTCCTGAGACATTTTCCGGAAAAACATAATTTTATAATTTCTTCCTGAAAATATTTTCCGGAGACATTTTCCGGAAAAACATAATTTTATAATTTCTTCCTGAAAATATTTTCCGGAGACATTTTCCGGAAAAACATAATTTTATAATTTCTTCCGGAAGATTATTTTCCGGAAACATTTTCCGGAAAAACATAATTTTATAATTTCTTCCGGAAGATTATTTTCCGGAAACATTTTACAGTCTCATAATTAATTTCCCAACTCTCAGGTTGCCGTTAATGTATTCGAAAGTCCATTTCCTAAAGCTCAGGGAGGAGGAAAATATCCTCCACCAAGCTATGAGCCTGATCAACAGAATCGCCAATCATATCACTAAATTGACGAAAAAACTAATGGATAATTGTAAAAATAACGCGATTTTAATTTCAAAATTTACCCTACATTTTTAATTTCTATTATTATAAAGGTGCCTTTAGTCTGTAATTTATTAGTATAAAAATACATAATAATTTTGTTCAATTTCAATATTTATTTCTCCTTAATTAAACAATTATGAGGATGCTCAGTGTTAATAAATTTTACAAGGAAAGGGATTCACAGCTGCCGCCATCAAAATAATATTAAAAATGCCAAAAACAAATAAATATGAGTTATGAAAAAAGGGACAAGGATAATCAAAGATTTTTAGAAAAAGCTTTTCCGGAAGAATGTCTAATGAAAACAGAATTCTTATATGTATGGATTAATTTTGTTAGGACAATTCAGAATTAATAAATATTCCTTCCGGAAATAAGGAATTATTATTTCTTTCCGGAAAAAGAATATTAATACATCGTTCCGGAAAAATATTATTTTATAATTCCTTCCGGAAAAATTTTATATGTACTATTTCTTTCAGGAAAAATATTATTCTATAATTCCTTCCGGAAAAACAATAATACACTTAATTCCGGAAAAATATTGTTCTATAATTCTTTCCGGAAAAACTATTATATTTTGTTCCGGAAAAATATTGTTCTATAATTCTTTCCGGAAAAACAATTGTATAGTTGTTCTTCTTTCCGGAAAACACAGGAAATATTAATAGTAATCTAAACAAAACTCTCCATTTTTTCGGAAGCTTCAGAATAATTTTTCCGGAAAATAAAAGACAACAGGAACGTGTTTCTCCAAACATCAAAAAATAGTATTTTCTCCTTAACTTATTATCTTAGTACGCCTAACAGTTTCAATCTCCTTTGCCAACCCTTTCAAATAATTAATTTCTGCCTGAACTGCAGCTATTTCTGATTTCAATGTCATATTTCTACTTTCCAATTTAGCCATTTCCCCAACAGCTTCTTCTCTTTCTTTACGTTTCTTCTCTCTATAACGAGTAGCAGCAACTCTATTTAATTCTTTTTTGCGTTCTGCACGTGGTAATTTTTCCAAAATTTTTGAAGAATTCTTCAAAGACTGCTTCTCTGTCCCCTTCTCCTGTGGTGAACGCGAGAACGATCTTCGTTCAATTTCCGCACATTCTCGTTGGATTTCTTCAAAAATTTCGTCTTGGGAGGAAGAGGAGTATTCCCCTCCTCCTCCTGAACTCCATGTGCAGGCAGAGGAGCATACACTCAAAGGCTCGAAGGCGCTAGCTGAGGGAGAGGTTGAAGAGACTGTTGGGATGGTACTGTAAAAAATTAATTAGAGAATCTCTGACTTAAAAATCTACCTAGTCCCCATATCCTCATTATACTCCTCTTCGCCTGTAAACGTCCCATAAAGTTGCTGATAATTCTGATAGTTTGGCTCGGGGTTAAAATATTGCTGCTGCTGGTTATTTTCTTGTTGTTGCCATTGGGTGTTGTTCTCTTCAAAATTTCCGTCAATCCAATGTTCGTTTTGTTGTTGGGGATATTGAGGAGGGTTTTGGTGTGGGGGAGAGTAATCAAAGTTGTTGGCATTTTGAATATAATTTGTGGCAGCAGCCTGAGTCCCTGGCTCAGGCCCGACAAACACAACACTGAGAGGCCTAAAATATTAAATATTTATTTTCCGAAAAACTCAGAATTTTGCTTACTTCTGCTTTAGCGGCGGTGGAAGAATTGGCGATCCAATCGGAATATCCATGAGAAGTTCCTGGTGGTGGATAACTTCCTCCTTGTATTCCCTCTTCAATTCCTCCTCCACCAGTGCTTCCCACTCCGGTGTCCATGTAAGAATCGTTGGGGACAAAGCTCTAATAGTTGAAAGGCTTAAAGAGTAAAAGTGGGTAAAAGATTCTGAAGAATGTTACTTCATTTCCTCCTCGTCCAAATCCTCCTCCTCTCTCAACTCCAGTTTCAGCCATTCCAAATCGGTATTGTGAATCCCGTCGCTGCTGCTCTCCGTCAACGCTTGTTGTCCACATTGTTGGGTTATTTCCGAAGCTTGTTTTTGAGTTGTAGGGTTGATTAAAATACTGCGGTTGGGGTGGTGGGTTTGTAGAGAAGTGATGGTGAGGAAGAGACGACTCCAAAGAAGACAATGAGGTGGAAATGTCCAAAGGAGTTGGAACAGTCAGTGGGATTGACATTGGACTTAGCTGGAAATTGGTTAGTTAATCTGAGTTTGTTGGGAATCAAGTGTGGAGCTAGTCATTAATCCTTGTTACGCCTAGTGCCTAATCAAGCAGTTGGCCGGGCTATTAACCCTTAAAACCCCTCTCTCTCATCTCTCAGAGCCTCTTGGACTCACAACTATTCTCCCACTTCTTAAATAAAACAGATCTCCTATTTAACTATCCCACCCCTCTAAGCCAAAATATCGAGTTTGCCAAGTAATTTGGAGTTAGTCGTCAATCAGGTGTGGAGTTAGTCATTAATGTTTGTGTGTTCAACCAGTCTAGTGCTTAACCAAGAGGTTAACCAAGCCACTAACCCTTAACCCCTCTCTCTCAGAGCCTCTTGGACTCACAGCTCTTAGACAGAACAGATCTCCTATTTATCTCTCCAAACCCTATAGAGCCAAAATATCGAGTTTGCCACTCCTCCAGAGTCACTATAATACAACTAAGCTTTGTAATAAATTCAATCTAGGTATAATTAATCTCTCTAATTAAGGTTCCATTTACTTGTATATATTTTAACCTGCTCTAGTATTCCGCCAGTCGGTGAACTCTCTTGTTCAGTTAGCATCATACGCTCTTGTTTAGAAGAAATATGGCTCATATTTGAATGCATTTTTTAATTTTTTAGATTTTTTGAAGGATTCAAAGTAATTAATTTGTGAGGGAGTTAAAAAATTAGATTTTTTAATTAGTGCTGAAAAAAAATTTTTTTGAGAGAATTTTGAAAGAATATGGGTAACTTAAGGTTGGAAAACTTAATAAAAAATAATACAGAAAAAATTGAATGACTTATAGTTTATAAAAATACATATTTTTAGTTTAATAATTCATAAACACAAAAAATGTAGTTGGATACAAATTATGTAGTTAGTGTTTATTTCAGGCATGACACTAAAATTATTTAAATCTCTTTTCGAGGCATGTTTTCTATTTTTATTTTGTAGGGAGGGAATTGTTTTTATTTTGAGAATTTTTTGAAAAAAATAATATTTTTGGATTCTGAAACTGAGAGTTAGTGGAAGTTAGTCTTAAACTGGAAGTCAAAGCGCCTTCGTTCACTGCGCCTAGGTGATATAGCGACTGGGCTATCAGTTAAGTTTCTTTCATAATATCTCTTCTTTAATCCCTTTCTAGTAGGGCTAGCTTGATCTTCCTTCCTTCTAGACAGCCGATACAATAGTAGAAATACATATTCCTGTCCTTGTAGAAGAAAGGAACGTCTACTTAGGGTTACTCTTTAATCCCTTTCTAGTAGGGCTAGCTTGATCTTCCTTCTTCCTTCTAGACAGCCGATACACTAGTAGAAATACATATAACATGATCGGATAGGTTCCTATCCTTGTAGAAGAGAGAAATATCTAATCAACGGTACATATTTAATAAAAGCTTGACAGAAGCTATAAAAAAACGAGGAAATAAATTCATAAATAAAATATAAAATAAAATTCTTATATAAAAACTAGTTAATAAATGCTTATCTTATGGAGAAATTATCGTAAAATAGACATAAAATAAAATGAAAGTAATAAATATTTAATAAGCTTTAACTAAATCAATGGCGCTGACTGACAGTTTTACGTTATTAAATACACTGAGAATAAAAAGAGGGAAGGGAGAGATGTGAAGAAAGAGCATGTCTGGCGGCGGCTGTCAATAATTTTATTTGGAAATTTTTGTTTAAACAAATTTCCGTTGTGGTCAGGATTCATTTGGGTAAGGCATTAAAGGGTCTTTTATTGGGAAATTATAGGTAGGTCTTCGATAGAGAAAAGTTATGGGGGGGAAAAGTTATGGGGGTTTCACGTGAAGTAGCAAGCTTGCACTTTCTTTTGAGAAAGGATGATGCTAGTAATGAAATTTAGAATTTTGATACGGTAATTTAAATTAAATAGATTAATAATTCAATTAATTTAAGAATACTCCAGTAAAGAATATTTTCCGGAATAGTTTAAATTAGATATTTCTTTCCGGAACAGTCAGAATTTTTAAATAATTTTCCGGAAAAATCAGAATTACTAGATATGCGTTTCCGGAAAAATCAGAGTTATTAAACATTTCTCTGGAAACCCCAGAATTATTAAATATTTCTTCCGGAAAAATCAGAATAATTAAATTTCCTTTCCGTAAACTCAAGAATTACTAGATATATTTTTCCGGAAACACCAAAATTATTAAATATATTTTCCGGAAAAGACAGAATTATTAAATATACTTTTCCGGAAACCTCAGAATAATTAAATATCCTTTCCGGAAAAATCAGAATTAATATAAATATCTTTCCGGAACGATTTTTAAAAATTCTGAAAAAATCAGAATAATTTTTCCCATAATATTCAATATTAAATCAGAATGTTTTTATAAAAATATTGCTTGGTCATATATGTAATTAATTTATTTGTAATGTATGGAGTTGACATCTGTCAAAATCAGAAAAGAAGCATATTTTAAATATTCTTCCTAATATTCTTTTAATTAAAAATTTATTTTATTTAAAAAATAAAAATGAAAAATTCTCTAATTTTCTGGCACTCCCTATTTCTTTGTTTTTTGATTGTTTTTATTTTATTGGTAGCATTTATGCGCAGTGGAAGATGGTCGACTGAAAATAAAATATTTAAAAATTATTATGATAATTATGAACAAGTAATTTGGATAAACTCTTCTTTTGGTAATTTAAAAAAATTTTTTAATGTCCAACTAATAACTACTATGTAATAAAAATTATTCTTTTCCGGAAAATAGTTTATTCTATCACAGAAAAGTTTCTACATATTCCGGAAACTTTATTTAGACTTTATTCTTTTCCGGAAACTTAAAATAATTTATTTTATTCCGGAAACTTGGAATAGTGTATTTTTTCCGGAAACCTTATTTAAAATGTCTTTTTTCCGGAAACTTTGAATAATTTATTCCTTTTCCGGAAACTTTAAAACACATAAAATAAATTCCGGAAATTATTTTTTCCGTTTTCTTCTTTACACAAAAATAATTAATCTTTTTTTCCGGAAATTATTTTTTCCGGTATTTTAATATTTAATATCCCCCCCCCCTATGGAAACCCCCAGAATTATTAAAATCCATATTTTTCCGGAATAGCCAAATTATTTCTTCCATAATTTCCGGAATCTCTTCTATTTCTAATCTCTCCCTATTTCTAATTTAATAATAAAAACTAGCCAAATCATCTTCTCTAAAAATGAGATGGACAGTTGATTGGACAGAACAACTTGTAGAATTTACTGTTTATTTTTCTCCTAGTAATCTTTCTGCAGTTCTAATTGGATTTTCTGATCACGGAAAATTTGCAGGGAGTGATTTTTGTATTTATCAAGTGAAAAGTAGAAAATTGGTAGATTGGGAAATTTAAAAATAATTTTTAAAAATTTTAAAAGACGGACGGCTGGTTAGATTCAAATTTGGTTTTACACAAAGATATTAAACAAGATTGCCATTTATTTGGTACCAGAACTAGTGTTAAACAATTTTTTCAATTCCAAAGAAAATTTTCAACGTGTGATCCAAGAGACTTTAGATTCGATGTAAATTTACTATTTAAATTTCTATAGTAAAGAAAGGGATTCTTAATAAGACTGTGCCTTGGAAACAAACTTAATCAGGTGTTATAACGAAAAGGGGGTGTGGTATCGAGGGTCAGATCTCATATCCCATCAAACACATCCCAAACACTTGTGCGGCCGTAAATGACGTTATATGGACGTTATATAGAGGAGAAGTAGCATTGAGATTCGATTGGACCTAGTTAAAAATAATTTGAAACTATTGACTAGTGTGATCTGTAAGGAACTGGAACTTGAAACAACCAAAATTAATTCTAAAAATTTTTTAAAAAGAATGGAACAAGCAATATTATTCTTGCTGTTAGCACTAAAAAGAATTCAAAATCACTCAAAGATATGGTTTATGAAATGAGATATACAAAACTTTTAACTATTGGATTAAACGACAAGGAGAATAAGGTATGGATTTCAATTTAAATCTAGTCCACACACTCACTATTATCGCGATCAACTGACCATTTTTATTGTAGGAAAAGATAACAGAGAAAAACTCTATCTTATGTACCTTACAACCTATTTAAAATTTCTGATTAATATAAAGGGGATATATATAATTAAGTGATTGAGTATCTATGGTGTGGAGCGCAGTTAAGATTGTTGAGGGCATAGAGCATAACAAGTCTAGTGCCAAATCGAAACGTGAGGAGGAAAATTGACAGAAACCAGCCTGAAGGCACAATAAAGTCCAACCGATGGTTAAAAAAAATAAAAATTTAGCCGCGGCAGGCCAGGAGGATAACCTTCCTACCGAAGGTTTTATGGAGGGTAGCAGGCCGTTTATAATATGCTACATGGAGGTTGGAGGGCAGCTTTTAGCTGCACAGGCACAGTGACTTGTAAGGAATTGCATCGATGCCCGATGAAACTACTGCGCTCCGATTTTTTTAATCGGTGTCTCAAGTCAATAAGCCTCTGATCTGTAAACTTGAAATAATTTTAAAAGGGATTTGACTCCGCTTAACGAACTTTTTCAACTGATCACTAACTAGTTAGTGATCGCACTCTATTATCTGCGAGCAACTGACCATTTTTATTGTTTATTTAATAGGAAAAGAAAACAGAGAAAAACTCTATCATATGTACTTTACAACCTATTTAAAATTTCTGATTAATATATAGGGCATATATATAATTAAATGAATAAATAGCTTCAGTGTGGAGCGCAGTTAAGATTGTGGAGGGCATAGAGCGTTCAAGTCTGGTGCCAAACACCGACGAAAGTCGGAAAATGACTACCCGTTGGGTCTACTGCAAACAAAATAAAAAAAAAACTACTGCTTTGAACGTTCAGCAGGGCCAGGAGGAAAAACTTTCCATAGTGAAGGTTTTGTGGAGGGTAGCAGGCCTATAATATGCTACATGGAGGTTGGATGGCAATATTTAGGCGCAAGTGACTTGTAATTGCATCGATGTCCGATGAAACTACTGCGCTCCGAATTTTTTTTAATTTTTAAATCAAAACTCATTAATATTAAAAGGTCCCTCCAAAAACTAATCTGCAAACAATGGAAATCCGTGCCAATTCTGTACTTATCCCCCCACAAACAACAACTTATTATTGCAGGTTTAACAAAAAATTTTGTTCAAAAGACTTAACTAATTAAAGCATTATTGAATTGCCTCCACAATTAAAGCAAACAAAACATCACGCAATTAAGGTTGAAAAAACAGACTTAACTATAAATTAAATTAAAATAGTATGAAGCAGTAATAACTCCTGGAAATAAACAGTTTGTTCATCATTTTGAAGTGTTTCATTGTCAAACCCCTACAAGACCTTTTGCTGGCGATTGCTCCACTGCAAAACCTACAGAGGCTAAGAGTTGTTCTAAAGTTTTGGCTGCTTGGTCTATGGGGGCGAATGTTTTTTTAATTAAATTTTTAATCCTCCCCTCCCCTTATACAGCCTGTCGTCTTTCCCCCACAAGCAGGAATGCCGTTGGGAGGTCCTGGCTTCATCCCTTTTTTAATGGTGGAAATTCACTACAACAATCCTGCACTTCTCTCTGGCTATACTGACAGTTCTGGACTTAAAATAACCTTCACAAAGCATTTGAGACCTTTTGATGCTGGAATAATGGAGTTGGGGCTGATATATTCTGATGCAAACTCTATCCCGCCAATGCAAAAAGCATGGCCGCTTACAGGCTATTGTCCTAATGAGTGTACTGAAAAGGCAAAATATAATTTTTAATTGAAATAATTTACTAGAATTATTATTTTTCTGTGGAAATCAGAATTATTAAATACTTCTCTCTAGAAAAATCAGAATTACTAAAAAAAATTCCGGAATAGTCAGAATTAATTTTCAGGAATATTTGTGTGTCAAAATTACTTAAGTATATATTTCTTTCCGGAAAGATTAAAATTGTTAGATATTTCCTTCCGGAAAGATCAGAATTTTAATTACTTGATAAAAATCGGAATATTAAATAATCTTTTTTCCGGAAACACCAGAATTATTACATAAAATACTTTCTTCCGGAAAAATCAACTTAGGTATATATTTCTTTCCGGAAAGATCAGAATGCTTAAATATTTCCTTCCGGAAAAGTCAGAATATTAAATAATTATTTTTTCCGGAAAAAGTCATAATTAATTTTCCGGAATATCAACATTACACACATATTTTTTTCGGAACATTATTATTAAATTCTTTCCGTAATCCCTTATAAATTCCCTTTTTAGCTACCTTCCAACGGCATTTATATTTTTGCTTCACAACTTCATGCCCACTTAACAGGGCGCAAACTTTTTACTTCACTTGTAAGAAACGGAAGGAAGATTGGGGAAATAAATAGAGACGAGCATTATTCACCTCATTGGCAACATATCCAGCCTTTGGAGCCACACATTAATGTGCTTCCTGTAATTTTTCAAATTTTAATCCTCTTCTGATTTGTATTTTTTCCGGAAACTTTTTAGGGAGATGTGTTAGCAACAACGTGTTTATATGAAACATTGGAACGGAAAAAATGGACTTGGGTAAGGCTTCCGATTTTTCCTCTACTTTCTTCTATTTTTCCTCATTTTTTCCTCCATTTTTCCTCCTTTATTTCCTCCATTTTTCTTCATTTTTTCCTCGATTTTCCTCCATTTTTCCTCCATTTTTCCTCCATTTTCCTCCATTTTTCCTCCATTTTTCCTCCATTTTTCCTCCATTTTTCCTCCATTTTCCTCCATTTTTCCTCCATTTTTCCTCCATTTTTCCTCCATTTTCCTCCATTTTTCCTCCATTTTTCCTCCATTTTTCCTCCATTTTTCCTCCATTTTTCCTCCTTTATTTCCTCCATTTTTCCTCCATTTTTCCTTCATTTTTCCTCCATTTTCCTCTATTTCTCCTTCATTTTTCCTCCATTTTCCTCTATTTCTCCTTCATTTTTCCTCCATTTTCCTCCATTTTTCCTTCATTTTTCCTCCATTTTCCTCCATTTTTCCTTCATTTTTCCTCCATTTTCCTCTATTTCTCCTTCATTTTTCCTCCATTTTCCTCCATTTTTCCTTCATTTTTCCTCCATTTTCCTCTATTTCTCCTTCATTTTTCCTCCATTTTCCTCCATTTTTCCTCCATTTTTCTTCATTTTTTCCTCGATTTTCCTCCATTTTTCCTCCATTTTTCTTCATTTTTTCCTCGATTTTCCTCCATTTTTCCTCCATTTTCCTCCATTTTTCCTCCATTTTTCTTCATTTTTTCCTCGATTTTCCTTCATTTTTCCTCCATTTTCCTCTATTTCTCCTTCATTTTTCCTCCATTTTCCTCTATTTCTCCTTCATTTTTCCTCCATTTTCCTCCATTTTTCCTTCATTTTTCCTCCATTTTCCTCCATTTTTCCTTCATTTTTCCTCCATTTTCCTCTATTTCTCCTTCATTTTTCCTCCATTTTCCTCCATTTTTCCTTCATTTTTCCTCCATTTTCCTCTATTTCTCCTTCATTTTTCCTCCATTTTCCTCCATTTTTCCTCCATTTTTCTTCATTTTTTCCTCGATTTTCCTTCATTTTTCCTCCATTTTCCTCCATTTTTCCTTCATTTTTCCTCCATTTTCCTCTATTTCTCCTTCATTTTTCCTCCATTTTCCTCTATTTCTCCTTCATTTTTCCTCCATTTTCCTCCATTTTTCCTTCATTTTTCCTCCATTTTCCTCCATTTTTCCTTCATTTTTCCTCCATTTTCCTCTATTTCTCCTTCATTTTTCCTCCATTTTCCTCCATTTTTCCTTCATTTTTCCTCCATTTTCCTCTATTTCTCCTTCATTTTTCCTCCATTTTCCTCCATTTTTCCTCCATTTTTCTTCATTTTTTCCTCGATTTTCCTCCATTTTTCCTCCATTTTTCCTCCATTTTCCTCCATTTTTCCTCCATTTTTCCTCCATTTTTCCTCCATTTTTCCTCCATTTTCCTCCATTTTTCCTCCATTTTTCCTCCATTTTTCCTCCATTTTCCTCCATTTTTCCTCCATTTTTCCTCCATTTTTCCTCCATTTTTCCTCCTTTATTTCCTCCATTTTTCCTCTATTTCTCCTTCATTTTTCCTCCATTTTCCTCCATTTTTCCTTCATTTTTCCTCCATTTTCCTCCATTTTTCCTTCATTTTTCCTCCATTTTCCTCTATTTCTCCTTCATTTTTCCTCCATTTTCCTCCATTTTTCCTTCATTTTTCCTCAATTTTCCCTCTAATTCTCCACATTTTTCCTCTATTCCTCTAATATTTTTTTAATTATTAAAAAGGGTGGGTATGGCATTGAAGACGAAATGTGTGTAAATTATATACACTACTACCCGGCATCTGAGGTCAGATCAGAATATTTAGATTAAAATCAGAATTTTTTTCGAAATTACAGATAGAAGTGTGTAAATCTGCAGTTTCCAATTCATCTCTACACTCCTTTTTCTCGAAATTGTTTTTTTTAATTTTTTTTAATAAATTTACCTAATTTAAATATATAGAGGAGTTGTTGACAAACGACCTAGCATTCAAGAGAAATATTTGTCGATTAAATGGGTAATTAATTTTATTTTTGAATAAACAAAGCATTTATTAAGAATACAGCCAAAATTGGATTATTACGTGAATTTTATCATGTTTCTCCACTAAATGTTGCATGCCTTAAACATTCTGGGCAGCTATTTAAAGTAGAAGTTTTGTGTTTTTAATTAAATATTGTGTTTCTTTTCCGGAAAATATTGGGTTAGTTGTATGTCCTTTCCGGAAAAGATAATTTGTATTTTATTTTATTAAAGATTCCGGAAAAATCGGAATTGTGTATTTAATGTGTATTTTCCGGAATAGTCGCTCTTTTGTGTTTCTTTTCCGGAAAATGTTGGATTGTTTGTATGTCCCTTCCGGAAAATACAATTTGTATTTTATTTTCTTGAAGATTCCGGAAGAACCAGAATTGTGTACTTAGTATGTATTTTCCGGAATAGTCAGTCAAATTTAATTTTTGTGTTTCATTTCCGGAAAAGACAATACGTATTTTATTTTATTAAAGATTCCGGAAAGACCAGAATTATGTATTTCACATGTATTTTCCGGAATAGTCGCTCGAATTTAATTTTTGTGTTTCCTTTCCGGAAAGGACAATTATTTTCTTGAAGATTCCGGAAAAACTAGAATTGTGTATTTCATACCTATGTATTTTCCGGAAAATACTATTATTTTCTTTTTTAGGGTTCCGGAAAAACCAGAATTATTTATTTAATATTTTCCGGAATATTCACTTCGAAAAATGTCAAGTGTGAATATTTTTTCCGGAATATTCTTTTTGCAAATCTTTCCGGAATATTCACTACTAAATATTTCCGAAGAACCATAATTATTATAAATGTTTTTAAGGGACACCCTAACAATTGGACAAAAGTGCTTAGACCAGAATATTTGGAAGCACCTAAATCAGATAGCATTTATAAAAGCGACGAATGTTTAGCTATTAATGACTGATCTATAATAAATTATTTGATGTAGTAAATAAATTTTATTTCCGGAAAAATCAGAAAATATTAAGCAAGAGAAGAAAATTAAGTACAATTCCTCTTTCTTTACAACTCATCAAATTATTCTGAAATAAGTTTCAAGATAATATATAGCTTCTGAAATAATTAGACGAGCCATGGAGCGCAGTTAAGATTGTAGAGGAGAATAATAAAGATAACTGGCCAAGGGCCAGGAGGAATACCTTGAAAAAGGGTTGTGGAGGTTAGCAGGCCGAATAATATGCTAAATGGAGGTGGAGGAGTTCAAACTTTAAGATTTGAACAAATTTTTGTTTGATTATATATATATATATGACTGCGCTCCCAAATTTTTTTGAATCTTCTTAAAATTTTATCTTAAAGTCTGATCTTTTTCCTTCCTACATGCCGATATAAAAAGAATCAGCACTAAAACTCTTGAGAATTAATGAATAAAATGTTTTTGACAATAGAATTTTTTCTAGTTTCAACCAATAAGACTCAATAGTCGCTTTTTCTAATAACTAAAGACAAAAATGTCGAATTTCTTCGTTGCACTTTTGCAACCCATCGAATATTTAAATTTAAAATATTCGACAAATTTAAAAATAGATCGAAACAGAGACAGGCATGGAGTGCAGATAAGATTGTAGAGCGCATAGGGTGCCATGAGTTTGTGTTGAAAATCAAAAACATTCTTCCGGTTCGGAACAATTTAATCCGTTGGATTTAGTCTTCCTTCGGGGGCCAGGAGGAAAACCTGAAAAAGGTAGTGGAGGGTAGCAGGCCTTAAAATATGCTACTAAGGAGGTTGGAGGTCATTAAAAACACTATGTTCTCATGGTCATGCCGATGCCCGATGACACGACTGCGCTCCGATTTTTTAAATAAAATTTTTTTGAAAATCAAATTCTAATTAATTTACCCTAATTTCTTGTTTTAGTCCCCTTAAAGTTTAATTTTCCCATTTTTATTACTCAAATTACCTCTAATTATTTAACATTCATCGATTCCCCATCCAACCTCCTCCTAAATTCCTCCTTAATTTTACCCTCCATAAAATGTCGGGTATTTTCCTTTAACAAATAAATTATTATTTTTTGTCTCTTTTGTGCAATCTTCCATTTATGCCTATTTTTTATTGATAAATAAATTCCCATATTTTTTTCTTCATCATTTCCCCTCTTCTCCTTAAAAAGCAAAGTAAAAAGTATACATTTATAGTTGAGGTTACTCATTATTTTTTATAATATACCTAAAAATGTGTGTTCAACTAGGAGTACTTACCAGGGATCTAGCCGTCCCGCTTCCCGAAAATCGGGAATTCCCGACGTTTTTTGGGTAGGTAACCCCGCTTTCACGAAATCGTGAATTAAATTTCCATCGGGAATTCCCGATTCCTGTAATCGGGAATTTTGTTTTTATGTCGGCTCTTTCATTAGTACTTACCTTCATATTATCCAATCCTTCATATTTCCCCCTAATCTTATTTTTCAATCTATAATTTTTATTATTTGTAAATTTTATTTTCCAATCTCACAAGTTTAAAAAATTTTTTGGGCGTTAACGGATCCCCTCCTCCCCCCGATTCCCAGAAATCGGGAATTCCCGATGGCCAGGTTGCCCCTCAATGGCCAGTTTTGCAGATGCCCACTAATCACAAATTTTTTTGTCGTTCTATATTGATTCTAGATTTATTTATTTTTTGCTACCCTTCTAAAATTTATTTTTTCTTTTCCCCTATTTTTAGCTAAAAATTATTTTATCACATACACATAACCTCCCTAATCATCTACTGACATTAACCTTCTCTTTATTTATAAATGTTTTTGATTACTGGAATTATTAACCGCATCTCTGCTATTATCAACTGGTTCTTTTGTCTTTGGGTATTTAACTTTGGATGGCTATATGTTCTTTATATAAATTTACCTATTGAATATGTGAAGCGTTTTATCAATGTTAGACTTGACTGGATCAAATTTAAATCGAATATTGGGGGGATATCGCATGGGAGGAAAGTTGCTGGAGTACAGAGACAGGTGCTTTGCCCTACAAAATTTTGAGAAAAAAAATTAAATTTTTTTGAAGATCAACAAATGGCACAAATTAAATGAGGGCAAACCACACCGTCAAAGACAACGACTCACTACAAGCAGCATGGATAATTGTCAACAAATGTGCTTTACTAGACCAGAATATAAAAAGGGAATGTACAAAATCAATTTGGACAATCTTTGTAATATTGTGGAGGTGAATATTAAATAAATTAAATGTTACAAACTTACAAACTTAAGATTTTGATTAAACCAGAATTTAATTAAACCAGAATTAAGATTTATTTAAGTTCAATCTTAAGTTTATAAGCTAAATAAAAATTCTGATCTTTTAAAATAATTCTGATTATTTCAAGTTTTTAAGATTGTGTTTTCAATCAGAATTTTTTAAGTCAGAATTTTATTAAAAATCAGAATTTTTCTAAAATCAGAATTTTATTAAAAATCAGAATTTTATTAAAAATCAGAATTTTATTAAAAATCAGAATTTTATTAAAAATCAGAATTTTTCTAAAATCAGAATTTTATTAAAAATCAGAATTTTATTAAAAATCAGAATTTTTTAAATCAGAATTTTTCAATCAGAATTTTTCTAAAATAAGAATCTTAAGTTTACAAATCAGAATTTTGTTACAAAAAGAAATCAGAATTTTCTTAAGTTTACAAACTTCTTCCGGATAAACCAGAATTAAAATAGTTACCTAAGTTGCAATCTAGAAAAACAAATTAAAATCAGAATTTAATAAAACAAATCAGAATTTTTTTAAGTTTACAAACTTAAGGTCTACCTAAAATTATTCAAGTTTAACTCATAAAATTCATTTAAGCTAAACACTTCTTCAAAATTTGTGCGTGTTGAACCAAAAGTCAGTATCGACCAACTCCAACGAGCTCTTCTTCCCCTAGGTTATACACTTCCGGTAGTTCCGGAAATTGGAGACTTGCAAATTGGGGGTTTAGTGTTGGGGGCAGGCATCTCTTCGAGTAGTGCAAAGAATGGGCTTTTTCAACATTCTTGTTTGGCTTACGAAATTGTGACTACAAGTGGTGAATTAATTATTGCCGAGAGGGTAGACTTGAAAGGAAATTTACCCAAAAATAAAAAATTTTTTTGAAGGAAGGTGCTCACCAGTCATTATTCTTCGGCATTCCCTGGTCGCTTGGTTCGCTCGGTTTCCTAGTTTCTATCACCCTCAAAATTCGAGAATGCCCTCCATATATCAGACTTCAATACCAACCCTGTTATTCCACAAAAGAATTGACTGGGCGTATAGAGGAATTAATTATGAAGAAGAGAACCGAAAATGAATTTGTGGAAGCAATTCAATATGATAAGGAATGCTCAGTTTTAATTAGTGGAACTTTTATTGACAAAATACCTAGAAATGATAGAAATTATAAAAATAATATTGGAAGATGGTACAAGCCTTTCTTTTATTTATATGTGAAGAAAATGTTGGAAAGTGGAGGGGTGAGTTTGTATTTTTTATTTGAAAATACAAGTTTGTGTGGTAGTGAGAAAATAGTAGTGTGTTTTAGGAGAGAATTCTGATTTGGTTAAGTTTGTGTTTCTTTTTCAGGTTTTGTATTTTCTGTTTATAAATGTTCTGATTGTTATTTAAGTTTTGTGTTTTCTTTCTCAATTTTGTGTTTTCTTTGTCAAGTTTGTGTTTTCGTGTTTCTGATTAATTAAGTTTTAAATATTCCGTAATAATTCTGATTTTTATTCAAGTTTTGTGTTTTCTTCGTCAAGTTTGTATTTTTGTATTTTTCTGATTTTGTATTTTATTCAAGTTTTTAGGTGTTCTGTTTTACATAATTCTGATTTTTATTTAAGTTTTGTGTTTTCTTTTTTAAGTTTGTATTTTGTGTTTTTTAGGAATTCTGATTTTTATTCAAGTTTTGTGTTTTCCTGTGTTTTCCTTGTATTTTCTGATTCTTTGTTTTATTCAAGTTTGTAATTCTGATTTCTAGGTAATTCTTCTGTTTTCTTTGTTAAGCTTGTATTTTTATGTTTTTCTGATTCTTTGTTCTATTCAAGTTGTTAAATGTTCTGTTTTACAATTCTGATTTTTTAAATAATTTCTTCTCAATTTCAGTCCAAAACAGAATATATTCCAACAACCCAATATTTTACTCGTCATTGGCGTTCTCTATTCTGGGAGCTACGTTCAATTTTTCCTTCCTTGTTTTTACTATTTCCTCTTCGTTGGATTATTGGATGGTTCTTGCCGTTGTCCCTTCCTTTCCCTAAAACTTCTCGTGTTCGTCGACTTTATTCAAAACAACATGTTTTACAGAATATTATGGTTCCTTTAAGTGATTTACAAGAAGCGTTGAAACTTGTTGATAAAGAAATGAAGGTGATAGGGATAACAGATATTTCTTAAGGAATTTTTCTCTTCAGATTTACCCCCTCTGGCTCTGTCCGTTTCACTTGACAGCTCATACTGGACTTGTACGAAATCAACACGGACTTAAACTAATGTACGTCAATATTGGTATATATGGACAGCCACGCTTGACTCAAAGTTTTGATGAAGAGGAAAGTAGTTCTAATACAGTGGCTGAAAAGATCAAGACATTGGAGGGTTATTTGAGAGAAGTTAAGGGGTAGAGTTTAAATTTTTTATTTTTTAATAGGAAGGTTTGGCCCCAATGAATTCTCGATTAATTACAAACTTGATTTTACGTTTAATTTTAATTGTTTCTAAAAACATTTTTAAGTTTGTAAATTCAAGTTTACAGACTTAAGTTTGCAAAAAAATTTTGTAAACTTAGAAACTTGAATTTATTACAAAACTTGAATTTCAAACTTGAGTTTATTTTCAAGTTTTAGACATTTTTAAATAAACTTGTATTTTTCAAGTTTACAATCTCAAGTTTATATTTTGATACAAAACTTTAATTTTTGACTGATTTATTCACAAAACTCAAGTTTGAATTTATAGTTTTTTTTTGTATTTTCTGATTTACCGTAAATGTTCTGATAGAAGCCCGGCTCCAATAGAAGCCCATGCCCATTAGAAGCCCACCCAATGAAGGGTATTGAAGAATAAACGCCCTTGCCCTTATAGAAGCCCAATAAAAGCCCATTAGAAGCCCACCCAATGGAACCCATTGAAAAATAGACGCCCAGTGCTTCTATTGGAACATTTACGGTAATTCTTTTCTGAAATCAAGTTTGTATTTTTGTATTATTCGTTGTTTATTAAGAAGTTTTTTTTAAGATTCTTAAAATAATCTTTCTTGTTTAACTAATATTTTTTTCTAACAGATTCCAAATGTTATGTTCTGATTCTCAACAAAATGCCGCTGAGTTTTGGGAAATGTTTGATGTAAGAAGAATTTTAATGGATTCAATAAAAAATTTAAATTTTAAAGGCGGCTCTCTACGATTGGTTGCGTGCCAAATACGATTGTAAAGTTTCGATTCCTTCAGTTTTTGAAAAAGTGTATGCGGAGAATAGGACAAAATGAGTGAGTAATTAGTTAAAGGACACTAGAATTAACACAAAATTGACCGGGAAAAAAAAATTAATTTTTTGACTAATTTATTTTTAATTAATTCGGTACTTGGATAGTTCCCCTCCCTATAGTTTGGGTCTTTTTTGCTTTGCTTTGTATGTATGTATCTATTCAGTATCCGGAAAAAAATAAATATTCAACAGTCTCCGGAATTTTCCGGAATATTAATAGACATACCTTCCGGAAAGTGAATATAGACATATTTTCCGGAATATTAATAGACATATTTTCCGGATTTTTAATAGCCATACTTTCCGGAATCTGAATAGACACATTCTCATGATTCTGAATAGACATGCCTTCCGGAAGCAATATGAGATGCAAGTAAAAATAAATGTTAACCAAATATACCTAACCAAAAATGAAGAAAAAATAATTGCTACTCAAACTAGGGGATGGGGGCTATCCAAATAGTACATACTTAATAATTCATGCTTGCCTTAACAAAAATTTTTTTATTTCTAATACATGACTTAAAAATTAAATTATATTTTATTTTTATTGTCTCATTTGAACACGATTTTTAAATAAAAAACAATTTTTTAAATATTAAAAAAAAGCCGCTCAAGTTTTGTTTGATTCTTGGTTAACTCTCATACCTTTATCTAAGCTCTTCAGAGATTTCAGAGTTTTCGAGCAAAAATTTCAGAAATTATGGCCAAAAATGTTGATTTTCTGCAAAATGCCTAATTTTTCGATGTCTATCGACTATAACTTCAGCAATATTTCATGAAAAATTCTGAAATTTCTGGAGGAGGTAGTGAAGGATATTTTAGAGATTTGATAAAATTTTCATGAAATTAGGTTTCGTCTAGGTACCGGTTTTTATTTCTCGCGCCAAAACGGCACGGCGCCAAAACGTCCTCAACCCTTTTTCTATCGCTCTCGCGACGGGACACGCCCAAGTAGGCGCGCGGCCAGGTAGGCGCAAAACCATAACTAGTTGGAAAATTTCTGGACTTCAAAAATTTTGGTACCAATCTCTTTAGCTTGATGAGAGGAATCGTTTAATACCAAATTTGGAATATTCGGAAATCTTGAAGCAAGTTATGGCTTTGCGCCTACCTGGCCGCGCGCCTACTTGGGCTGTACCCCTCGCGACGAAGCGTCCTTAAGTCTGTAATTTTTGTCGAATGTCAAAGTGTAAACTAGTACAAAAATTTTTAAAACGTCAATTTAATTAGAGAGAACATTAAAAGTGGAGAGCGTCAGAGAAATGCGGCTGTAATTTGCTTGCGCAGAGGAAATTTTTTGTTTTTCGTTGTTTTTGATTGTTTTCTTTTGATTTTTTTAATTCCCGATATATTTTTTAGATATTTCTCTAGATAATTTAATAAATTAATTTATTCTGCAAAAAATGCTGAAGAAAATAATCTTGAAATTGATGAATTAAATCAAAACGACAAACAAGCATTATTAGAAACTCCAGCAAAAGATGATGAGGGAGAAATTGTGCCCAGTTTTTTTCGTCGACATCGCCGTTCGCGTTCTAGAAATAATGATCGTCATAATAACAACAATAGGTTTGTTTGACTGTAAATTTTAGTGGGGATTGTCTAACCTGGGATTCTGACAGGCCCGTAGCCAGGATTTTTTTTTGCGGGGGGGGGGGGGGGGGCCAAGGGGGGAAATTTTTTCTGCGCCAAATTTTTGGCGCCGAAGGCGCCATCTTCCCAACATCAACAACAAATTCATTTTCACATTTTAGCCAAACCCAATCTTTGCTATATTCTTCACCTTCAAAATTATTACAACAACAACAAAATGTTGGAATTTCAAATTCAATTGTCAACTCCATTGCTGGTCCAATAATTAATACGGAACAGATCAAAACGGTTTCTTTTTTTTATTATTTTAATTAGAATTGTCTAGTTTAGTTAAACCCGGGTAGGGGATCCCGTTTAAGAATTTTCAATTTCGAGGTTTCTGTTTGAAGTTATATTTTGAGTCATAACTTTTATGATTTAGAGTTAAGTTATCATTATACTAATTGAAAGCTTTGGGGTTTACTTCTTTTTCCCATTATCTTCTAAAAAGGGGGCAGGGTCCATCCCATTTTTCTTCCTAGCCCTCCAAAAATTTTTCTTATTTCTTTAATTTCTAGTCCAATTCACTTCCTATAATACATCAATTCCTCCTCCAAATTTATTGGTTGAAGTTTCAATGTCGCATTCCTCGCCTTCTTCAAATCTTGATTTGTCAATCAATCGACTTTCACAGATTGCTCCTCCATCAACGTTGGCTTCATTTTTTTCTGTTCCACCACCACAAATTATAAAACAACAGCAACAACAACCAATTCCTGTTGCTTCTACTACTACAACAACATCAACTGTTATTCCGTCTTTGCTAAGGTTTGTAACAAAAATTTTTTTTGAAAATATTTTCTACAGGTAAAAGCATTTGTTCTTCCTAGTCACCCAATTTTTTTGAAATTTTGGAAAAAAATTTTACCCCGAGCGGGTTCGAACCTTTCCCCTATTTTTAAAAATTTTCCCACTTAACCAAAGTGCACGAACTTAATTGTTAACGAAAGTGCACTTAACTTTTTTTCTTCGTTTGTCCCAACCTTTGCTGTAAATTTTGTACAAATTTTTCCTTTCATAACTTTAATATTAATTTAAAAATTTTTCAGTTTAATACATTCATCACAAATTTTGGTTACTTCCAGTCCATTAAAACAACAAGCTTTGGAACAAAAACAACAACAATCAACTATTGTTACTTCTACATGTATTCCTTCTTTGTTAAGGTTTGAAAATTTTTTTCTTTGAATTTTCTCAACTACCTCATAGAGGGCCTTTGGCCTTTTTTTTTGGAAATTTTTTTGTTTTTTCAGTTTGCCTCCTCCACAATTAATGATTACTTCTGGAAATGCTGCTGTTGTCTCTTCAACATCAACACCACCACTTCAACACCAACAACAACAAGATTATCAAAATAAACAAGATTAAAAAATTTTAAAAATATTTTTCTTATTTTTGTGCAAAAATGTTTTTGTTTGTTTAATGTTCATCAGAAATCCTCCATTGTGCCAGAATTCAAGAGATGGGAAAATCGGAGTGTGGTTTAAGTATGTTGCAATTCGAACGCTCGGGGTCTTTGTCTCGATATCCATTAAATCAGCCAAGTTCCTTCAAATCCAATTAATCATCCGCTATCTTACAAATCCCTTGATGATAGGCCATAAATCTTCTTTTTTCAGTGCCGCAGGCGAAAACTATAAAAATTTCACTTTTCTGTCAAAAATTTCAGTCTTTCAAAAATAATAAGAGTAAACTGTGAGGAAAATTTCTTCTTTTTCTTAAAACTTCCCCCAGAAAGTCATTTTATGGTGTGTATACCCTGAAAACCCCGAAACATTTTATGACCGATAGACGGTTTTTCGGGCGGGGTTGTATCGGGGAAGACTGTGAAACAATAGTTTGTCAACGGGATCGGGGTACAACACTAATTTGAAGAGAAAAAAAACAGTTAAGGAGCATATTAGAGGACTTGAAAAGATTAAGGGCATTTGAAGGATATCGGTTGATTAAAGAAAAGAGCAGATGGATTTGACATATATCGGGAATATCACCTGAATTAAAAGATATCAGACTCCGAAATAAAATAATTTGGGTTCCAGTTACGTAGCCGAGGCATGATATTGATATTTTTAAATTTAGGAAGGCAGGCAGAAAGATTCCCTTTTATGATCATCCCTCCTCCCATATATTTAAAAAATTCCATCATTGGTGGTGTAAAATTTTGCATTTTTGCGTGCCAAAAGATAAAAATCATGCAAACGCACGCCAAAACGCCATGGTAAACAGTCGTTTTTCTCACTGTTAACTCCGCAGTTTCTCAATGTATAGTTGGCTCCGTAAAGTCTCTCAATGTGGAGTTGGTTCTACAGAGAGTTTCTCAATGTATAGTTGGCTCCGTAAAGTCTCTCAATGTGGAGTTGGCTATGCGGAGAGTTTCTCAATGTAGGGTTGGCTCCACAGAGTTTCTCAATGTGGAGTTGGCTATGCGGAGAGTTTCTCAATGTAGGGTTGGCTCCACAGAGTTTCTCAATGTGGAGTTGGCTATGCGGAGAGTTTCTCAATGTAGGGTTGGCTCCACAGAGTTTCTCAATGTGGAGTTGGCTAAACAGAGAGTTTCTCAGTGTAGTTGGCAGTGAGCAGGACTGTGCACCATGGCGTTTTGGCGTGCGTTTGCATGATTTTTATCTTTTGGCACGCAAAAATGCAAAATTTTACACCACCAATGATGGAATTTTTTAAAAATATGGGAGGAGGGATGATCATAAAAGGGAATTTTTCTGCCTGCCTTCCAAATTTAAAAATATCAATATCATGCCTCGGCTACGAACTGGAACCCAAATTATTTTATTTCGGAGTCTCATATCTTTCAATTCAGGTGATATTCCCGATATATGTCAAATCCATGTGTAATCACCCGATATCCTTCAAATGCCCTTAATCTTTTCAAGTCCTCTAATATGCTCCTTAACTGTTTTTTTTCTCTTCAAATTAGTGTTGTACCCCAATCTTGTTGACAAACTATTTTTTCAGTCTTTCCCGATACAACCCCCGCCCGAAAAACCGTCTATCGGTCCTAAAATGTTTTGGGGTTTTCAGGGTATACACACCATAAAATGACTTTCTGGGGGAAGTTTTAAGAAAAAAAAGAAATTTTCCTCACAGTTTACTCTTATTATTTTTGAAAGACTGTGAAATTTTTGACAGAAAAGTGAAATTTCTATAGTTTTCGCCTGCGGCACTGAAAAAAGAAGATTTATGGCCTATCATCAAGGGGTTTGTAAGATAGCGGATGATTAATTGGATTTGAAGGAACTAGGCTGATTTAATGGATATCGAAACAATTGGAAAACCCCGTTACCCAACATGCTACACTAGCACTAAATGCGACACTAGCACACACTAGCACAAAATGCGACACTAGCACACACTAGCACTAACATACAACACACGACACTAGCCCGACATACAAACACACACACTTGCCCGACACCCCGAGCGTTCAGGTAGCAACCTACTTCAATCTCACTCCGATCCTCACATTTCTTTTGAATTTTTGATACATCAAAGGAGGGTTTCTGACTTTTGAGATATATAGAATGATTTTGGTTTTCTATCCGTTCTAAAAATTTTGGCGTTTGGCACGCCACGCGGAAATTTTGTCGCACAGCTCGCCAATTTGGTCGGATTAATATTTATAGTATTTTTTGAAAAGCACTGAGTTTAGCAGGGTTTTTTTTTTAATTTTATGGATTTTTAAATTTATGAAGTTTTAAGTTTTTTTTTAATTCGTCTAAATCGAAGGAATTTTTTGACCATGGCGGCCGTTCTTGAATACGTAGCCACCGAGGTTCTCGAATTGACATGTAGCTGCTCACGCCACCAAGAAGATCCGCGGCATTTACAACTTGCTATACCAATTGACAAGGAATTTAACAAGGTGGAAAATTATTTTGCAATATTGATAATGAGATTAAGAAAAGATGTTATTGCTTAACCAAGTATATCCGAAAAATAATTGCTACTCAAACTAAGGGGTGGGGGTTATCCAAAAAGGTACTTAATAATTCATACTTGCCTTAACAAAATTTTTTTATTTCTAATAAATGACTTAAAAATTAAATTTTATTTTTATTGTCTCATTTGAACACGATTTTTAAATAAAAAACAATTTTTTAATATTAAAAAAATAATAATGATAATATTATTTTAAATCTGTGCCAGCAAATAATAAAATGAAGGGAAAACAAGAAATAAATATTTATTTTTTTTCAACATTTAATTAATTAAAATGTGAGAAATTTAATATTTATAAGAGGATTCGATTTTAATGAGAAAATATTTTTAAACAATAAATGAAGAATATATTAATTATGATTAATTTAAAGGCATTTAAAAACAAAAAATAATAACGGGAGAATTTTAAATACTAAAAAAATCTAAAAGGAAGACTACACAATATGAATATAAGGAGAGAATGGCAAAATAAAAAATAGGGGTGAAAGAACAAGCAAAAACAATAGAGACATTGTTAGAGAAAAGGTTAAGGTTGGGTGATTTAGTGACCATAAATGTCTGTTCCGGAAATTGTCTCTCATATGTATTCATCGACTTTATGTCTATTCAAAATCCGGAAAAAATAATTCTTAATCAAGACGTATTTTCCGGATTTTAAATAGACATACTTTCCGGAATATTAATTCATACCTTCCGGAAAGTGAATAGACAAAAATTCCGGAATGTGAATAGACATACTTTCCGGAATATTAATAGAATAGTTTCCGGATTCTGAATAGACATACCTTCCGGAAAATGAATAGACGTATTTTCCGGATTTTGAATAGACATACTTTCCGGAATATTAATAGAATAGTTTCCGGATTCTGAATAGACATACCTTCCGGAAAGTGAATAGACATATTTTCCGGAGTGTGAATACACTTTCCGGAATTTTCCGGAACTGAAATAGTATGCATAAGAAACACAAACTTAAGTTCAAAAAAATAAAACTTAAATAAACTTAAGTATGAATTTAAGTTTTAATAGTTCAGGTTTTAATAGTTTACAAACTTAAGCTTGAATTCTTTTATTAATTTAATGCTTTTATTTTTCTGGTAATTATTGTAAAATCTATTTATTGGTTTTTACCACCAAAAAATTATTTTAATTTTTATTTAATATTGCAAAAATGGGAATGTAATATTTTATTAAATTTTTTAAAATTTTTTGGTAAAAGCAAAATGAAAGAGCCGATTAAAAATATTCGAGAATGGTGTTTTTAGTGTGGCAATTGAGTGTGGGAGTGCAAAAAATGAATATAATAAAATGAGGTTTTGAGTGAATTGGGGATATTAAGAAGTTGGATTGGATATAAATAATAAAAATAATTAGTCGACACTCTCTCAGGTATCCCAGGCAAAAATCACAGGGAGAATGAGGGGAAGAAGAGGGTTCTTAATTGTATAACTACTTAAAAGGTAGTGGTTTATGAGTGAAGCTTGGGGAGATTGGATTGGAGAGGTAGGCCAAGTCAGAGAAGCAAGGGGGAGTTCTAAAAATTGAAAGACTGAATCAAGACGTATAGGAATACCAGCCTTTTAGTAAAATGAGAAATCTATCAACAAGGATAATTAAAAAAGAGAGTCGACTGTAAAATAATTAAATATATTTTATATTATAATTTATCAGAGAAGCAATTTTAAAAAATTTTTTGTAATTCCAAAGAAAAAAATATTTTTCATTTTTATTTTATCAAATATTTAATGAATCGAAAAACAAACAAAAAAATAACAAATTGAAGGAAAAAAAATAAATTTAAAAATTGTTCAACAACAAAATATTTTTGAAAAATATATAAGATGATTTATGATGGTTGGGCCTTTGTTTTTAAATTTAAAAAATAAGGCAGAAATGGAAAACAAAAAAACTGGTCTTTAAATAATGAGTTAAACTACGAGGGGGTTTATTAAAAAATAGTTGACAGTCTACCTTATATACACCCTCTATGTTAGATACACTCAAGATAAGAGACTCCACTTTGGTTTCCCTATTGAGTGGGGGAACTATCTAAGCGATAACCTCTATTTAAGGTACCCCTCATTATAAGGTACCCCTCATTATAAGGTATCCCTCACTATAGAATACTCCCAATATTAGATACACCTCGGTAATAGTGTCGTTTCCAGTCCCCATTTTTTCCTCCCAATTTTTTACCCTATGTTTGTACGGAATGGTCAAATTTTACCCTTTCTTTTACCAAATTTGCCTTTCCATATTTTGCCTAAAAACAATCATAAAGATTAATTTTTTATTCAGTTCTTTCACAAGGACAAAGACCAAGCATGGAAAATGTTTTGTGGCTATTATTCCGTATTGAATCCGTATTTGACCATTCCGTACAAACAGAGGGTAAAAAATTGGGAGGAAAAAAT